AGGTAAAATTGTTTAGGTGGCACTGAACATTATCTTTTTTAAGAGTAAATTGTATTGACGGTGAAAAACTTATCAGATGGGTGTAATATAGTATATAGACTTGTAATACATTTATTTTATTATACAAACTTGTTAGTTACGTGTGAACTAAGGCCAAAAAATAAAATAAGTCTAATGTTGCTAATTTATGTGTTAATTAAAATGTTACATAAACACATAGAGAAAAAAAGTCATGTATAAATATATTTGTTCAGTAAAAATGTTTAATAAGACCTAGCAAATTAAGTGGATAAAGACATAAAAACCGAAAAATAATGTAATGGGAAGAACAAAGAATAAAAAGTACAAATCAAGTTTATGAAGATAACATGTCTCATGCCCACCTCACGTGTGCATGTCGCATCCTAATCAACATCTAACAGGAACTTTATAAATTTTAGGTACTATTTAAGTGAAATGTTAATTGTATACATGCCATTCAACTTTACCAAATTTAAAAAGTACCACTGCTATTCGTGATATCGGTCGTTTGCTGTTGATATTTTGTAAAATTTGAACCATGCCACTATTTCTATCTTGGACACAGCTGGATCAGGTTTTGTCATACCATATTTTTTCATATGGATGAAAATACCCCAACCCTCTGATAAGAAGAACCCATATGTCCGACTTATCTTCTTCCCTATCTTTTCCTCGAGAAAATGGACATTTGGCCATCTTCGAAACTGGGATTCGCTATTATGCCATCTTCAAAATGCCAACCTCAAGCCTATGCTACTTACCGGATTGCCATTTTCTCATTTTCTCTTACTTCCGAATTTTTTTTTTGCCTATTCCTCATGGTGATCAGACGAAAATACCCCTGGGGCCATTGGCGGAGGTCAAGTTGGGGGGAATCAAGTCGGTGGAGGCGGCGAAGCGTGTTGGGGAGAAGCCGGTGGTGAGAGGAGATGGAGGCGACGGTGGACGATTGTGCGAGGCGTACCAAGAGTTCGGGGCGGTGACGACGGTGGTGGTGGAGGGGTGCGGGCAATCCGTGGAGAGAAGACGACGACCATGGACGCAGTGCTCAACGGCTAGAGGCATTCAAGCAGTGCTGGGAGCTCTTCCGTGTCGCCTGCGACCACGCCGAGGAGCTCGTCGGGTCAATCCGCCAACGCATCGGCTCCGAGTGCCTCGTCAACATGGCCACTGACACATCCTCCTCCTCGAGTATCCGCCGCAGTCCCTTGCGTCGCCGGCGGAGCAGTCTTCACCACATATTCCCGCGACGTCCCACCGCCTAGAGAGGAAGACGATGATGATGCATCTGCTCCTATATCAGCGTTGCTCCTGCCGTCACTCCCGTTGGTGGCGTCCAGGAGGGCACAGATGCACGCGGAGGAGAGGCTAGAGAGGAACGGAGGAGGGGTGGGAAGAAGGGGAGCGACGGTGGTGGCAGCGGAGGGAGAGCACGGTGGTGGCAGCGAAGGGAGAGCACGGTGGGTGTCGGTGAGTGGGCAGAGTGCCATGGTGTGCACGTGGTGAAGAGAAGGGGAGGCGGAGGGTATTTTCGTCTGATTACCATGAGAAAGAGGCAAAAATATTTTGGAAATAAGAGAAAATAAGAAGATGGCAATCCGGCGAGTAGCGTAGGCTTGAGGTTGGCATTTTATCGAATCACGTTTTGAAGATGGCATAATAGCGAAACCCAGTTTTGAAGCTGGCCAAATGTCCATTTTCTCCATTTTCTCTGGCACGGTATGCCCGAGACGGAGCTCCACTGACGTAAAGTCAGAGGGACATGGGTCGCTGACAGGTGAGGCCCACCTTTACCATACGTCAGTGACGACGTACCTCTGACTTTACGTCAGAGCAGCATGTTCCGTATGCCCGGCAGTGATGAGAACAATGCAGAGATTTATTCCAAACATAATGAAAGTTGTTTTAGGCCGAGTTTAGTTACAAACTTTTTCTTCAAACATCCAACTTTTTCATCACATCAAAATTTTCCTACACACACAAACTTCCAACTTTTTCATCACATCGTTCCAATTTCAACCAAACTTAGCACATGGCAGCTGTCACTAAGCAACATATGGCAGTTCTACTCCAAGCAACATGAGTTTAGGCCAGTCTCAGTAGTCAATAATAATTCCCAGTCTAGTCTCTTTGTATAGATTATTTTAAATTTGTTCGTGTGAGCTTTTCTTTTTCTACTGCTATATTGATAAGTCCTGTAATCATGTCTGGGTTATGTGATCTCTCTAGCGTCTTGTTTTTTACCATATTACTCACATGATTATTCTTTCATATTGCCGAAATGATTATTCTTCCATTTTTTTCTAAGTTCATGATGTAAGACAAAAATATTCCATGCAAATACCTTGGTTCTTGTGACTTCCAATTCTCACACTACTAAAAAAGGAATTTTCCGTGCAGAGGTCTTGCCTGTCTGCACCCAAGTATCCGCGAAAATAAATATTTTCGTGTGCGGGCGGCCCAACCACACGGAATTATCCATCTTCCTGTGCGGTCGGGTTAGGTGGACCGCACGGGATAATCGTATTTTCGTGTGCGGTCGGGTTTTGTCACCCGCACGGAAAAATAAAATTCCGAAAAAATAAAAAATCAAAAAAACGAAACCAAAATTCCGAAAAAAAATCAAAAATCAAAAAAAGAAAACCCTAGAATCCGGCCAGCCAGCGCGTGCGCGTGGAGTCAGCGGCGACGACGCCGCCGCCTCGTCGTCGTCGGCGGGGGCGGCATGGATCCGGCTAGCGTGTGTGCGCGCGTGGCCGGCGGTGTCACTCATGGCCGCCTCCTCCTCATCATCATCGTTATCGGCCGGGGCGGCACGAATCCGGCTAGTGTGCGCGTGGGGCCGGCGGTGCCACTCCCGGCCGCCTCCTCGTCGCCGTCGTCGCTCGAGGCCACCGCCGGAGCTTCGCGGGGAAGGACGAGGGAGCCGCTGCCTTTACCGTCGACCAAGCCGCCCGGCCGTTGCGAGGCTGGCCGAGGCGGATCCGCCCGCCACCGTTGATATTTGACCCCAAATAAAATGTATAAATAAAACACAATTCAATACTACCTCAGAAAGGAAATAATAACATCGATTTTCATTATTCAGATGTGCCATCATCTCTCACAAGTATAGTACATGGATCAGATAAAAACAGGTAATGCATATATCTCAGCACCTTCAGTTTGTTCTCAGCGCATCATCCAGCATGTTTTACTAAAGGCCAACATTTTTTAAAAGCACTGAAAAGCATAATCATGTATTAATCCCTTGAGACTTCTCTTGATACCATCAAGTTTTGGCAATCAATCACATTTATGCATAAATGTGATTTAGCTTGCACAGAAACATGTATCTTCCATGCCACAGTACCTATCTTTATAGGTAGGAATGAAATGAAAAATTGAACCTGCTTAGCCCCTAATGTAAATTAGTAAGATATATTCCAAACGTTGACACCAAACACGACGAGTTACATAATACAGAGCCTGCAATACAAGGAAAGATGACAAAAAAACAGTAATATTCCTTTTTGTTGAAAAATAATGTTCTGTAAAGGTCAAAGAAATCCAACACCGCAATCTCGTATACATGCAAGCCATCGAGATGGCACCGCCGAACATTTCGAGCAGCATCTTATATTTTTACACAAAGAAAAAAGGAAGGAAGATTAAAAAAATAAGGGCCAAAAAAAACAAACATATACGGTGCTTAAAGCACCATTCAAGATAAAAATTGGGTCAGTCACTATGCTGGAGGTAAATATATACTCCCTCTGTTTCACCATATAAGTCGTTCTAACATTTTCCACACTCATATTGATGCTAATGAATCTAGACATATATACCTATGAATGTGAGAAATGCTAAAATGACTTACATTGTAAAACGGAGGAAGTAATATACAAGGTGTGCATAAGAGCATATTATGTTTCGTTCATAAGAGCAGCAGTCCCATATAAGAGTAGTTGAAAATCATATGGTTGTTGTATCTCTTCTCGTGCATAAAAAGGATCCAGGATATCTTGTTAATAAAAAACCCCACTCATGCAAGATACAAGGTTGCAAAACAAAACCTAAACTCAATTTATTCATCTAAAACCACAATCAAATTTTATTCCAAAACTCAATGTAGTGGCGGACCAAAAGAAAATAAATTTGAACCGTGGATTTTCCGAGGAACTTAGAATGGTAGAGCAGACGTATTATGATTATAGAGCAATATCAGAATTACCTGTTGTTTTGCATGAGTATTTTTCAGGAAAGTAAGGCAAAAACAGACAAACAACAGGCATGCTACTTACTCCGTTGATATAAGAAATTTCAGCATCGTTATCACTATATGACATTTTAGTTATCCTGAGCAGGAATATTTCTGTTATCATGTAATTAAAGTTTGCATCCAAAATGGTTGAACTGTAATGCCATTATTTTGACTCAAGCAATGAGGAGATATTTTTAGACAGCTAGGTTAAAGTTCTCATTTCACCAAGAAATACGGAAGAAAATCCACCAACCTTCTTTAAATAGTTGTGAACTTTTACAGAGTTCCAGGAAGTGCATCTAACTATATAAGTACACCAGCAAGACAATGCGGTTATTTTGATAATTTGCCAGAAGAAATGAAGTTTTATACTCCACTAAACAAATCTAAAACTCATGAATTAGAACCTGATGGGCTGCAGAGATCGAGCTGCAAACTGCTAGAGCCCCTGCTGGAATTAAATCAGGGAAGCATGTCCTTATATTGATTAAGTGGATTGACACAGATGATTCAGACAAAAAATTGTTAAATCTAAATTAGTTTCCACTGAAAGTGTAATAACAAATCCAAGGAAGGAGGTTTCTGCATCTACAACTATTAAACAACAAATTCACAGAAACATACTCAGATTTAATAGTTCATGCTAGGATAAGCATTTTATCACCATATTGCCAAAAATAGAAAAGTGAAAAAATTCAAGATTTTGGCTGTGACTACCCTAATTACTAACCTTTTTTTTTATCTCACACATGGTACACATGGTTTTCAGTCTTGGTTGCAGCAGATTAATGCATTCTTTTGCATAAACCTAGCCAATTATTGACACCAAGAAAGGTTCTTCTGGATGAGATGAGATTTTTTTTAGTACGGATGATAATCACTAAGAAAGAAATATATATAAGTGAGGGGAGTTAAATTAATACCTCTGGTAAGTATGGTAACATCAATCCTATGCAGTGCAGCATCTGAAGAGGAGCCCCAGGGCTCAGTCTGGATGCTAATATATTGAATCAAAGGAGCAATGTTTAAATCATTGTGCATTAATTCTGCAGAAGCAGAACTGAGGTACTATATAAACTTGAACAGGTACTTGTTCAGAACAGGAAGCATGACATCAATATACAAACTGCAAATTTGTTGTTCACATGAAGAGATGAGAATCTAACCAGTAGCATGACATCTAAATAAGCTGCACATTGGCTATTCAGATGAAGAGACGAGAATCAAACCATTTTTCATTTTGCATTTTGGGCTAACAACAATAATTCTGCCGCTATAAACTGGATCAGGCATAACAACAATTCCGTAGGAATAAACAGAGGAAATAATGGCAGTTCCACAACAATGAACTGAAGTAGAAATCAACGACGCGTTCAAGTTTCCCATCACTACTATCAGAAATTCTGAAGCCCTCAACATGGCTAGATAACGTAGAACCAGAATTATTTGGTGTTGTGCTACATAAAAAAAAAAGAACGCTCATTTCCTCTTCATATTTGATTGGTTCAGTTTGATGTAATCCTACAAATCACAAAAACATGCCTTCAATATTTCAACTCATTGATTTCACATTTCAGTTCTCAATCAAATATAGTATAGAGAAAGAGGACCTGAGATTGGAGCAATTAAAAACTAGGAAGATTACATGGCATTCACTGATCTGGTGGCTCATCACTGCATCTAGCTGCTGTTGGCCACCGCTGCCGCTGCCACCCTGCAATGCAAACCACAAGGTCGCAGGCGCGACGGGATTAGGAGGTCGCGAGCGTACGGGACTACGGGGGAACGCGAGAAGCCGAGAAGGGAGGTGGAGTCGACCAGGATCGTTCGATCGGATGTAGATGAACGTGGGGCGTTGGATTTGACGAATGATGAGTAATGTAGGCGTAAGAATGAGTTGGTGAATTATAAGGTAATATAAGAGATACCTACTGTAACATATTTAAAATGTGTTACAATATGTCTTGCAAAACATAAGGTTTCGTTGCTATAGCCTTCCCCAGTAACATATCTCCAAATGTGTTACAAATAGTGTTACAGATGTCAGTTCTGACATAGTGAAGACACCAGTTGGAAGCTTTGTCTGAGTTCTGAAATTTACACTGCTTTCGAAAAACAATTCCACGGATCGATCAAGGTGACGCACAAGAGAATTGTTTCCTGTTAACCAACATAGAAAAGCATGCATGATTAATTAACGTTGGCATTTGTGGACTTGCTAATCTAAAATTAAATGTGCAAGAGCATCTCGACCTGCATGCAGGCTGCAGCCTGAAAAGGTGAAAGAATAGGGAGTTTTTAACTCTGAACTTACTCTAGCAAGTGGAGTAAGGCATGTAATATACTATGCATCTAAGCACAAATGTCTAGATATCATCTAAGCTAAATAAATGATGAGGTGGAGGGAAGAAAAAAAGAGAGTGAGGACAAGTCACTTAAAGAAAAAAAGGGAAATTAAAGAGCGAGGTTGATTGGATACTTGTGTTGGTCTGTGAGGGCAGTCTATGACCTATAAAAGCTGCCAGATGTAAGCGGGCCCGGCCTGGGAGAGGTGGGACGTCAAAATGGTATCAGAGCTGACTCTCGCGGTTTCACGGGCGCGTGCGTCGCAGTTGCGCAGGCATGGTGTGCATGGCTGGTGTAGACCCGGAGTGGTCACACAGCATGACACATGCGCTGGCACTGGACACACGGACGTGGCCAAGAGAGGACGTTCCTGGCCTGGGGTTGATCGACGGAGTGGTCACACAGCATGGCACATGCGCTGGCACTGGACACACGGACGTAGCCAAGAGAGGACGAACCTGGCCTGGGGTTGATCGACGAGGACGTCGATATCTCTTTAGAGGGTGAGGATGTGACATCCCGGTCTAGGGCTTAATAGGATTAATAAAATACTCATATCAACAAATTGCAACTTCTTTTCTGGAAGCCGATCTCGAAATAACTCTGAGGTTAAGCGTGTTTGACCTCGAGAAATTTCGAGATAGGTGACCGTCGCAACTTCTTTTCCGGAAGTCGATCTCGAAAGAACTCTGAGGTTAAGCATGCTTGGCCTCGAGAAATTCTTCCCAGATGCACACGAGTGAGGACAAAATGTGCAGAAAAGATTTGTGTTGGTCTGTGAGGGCAGTCTATGACCTATAAAAGCTGCCAGATATAAGCGGGCCCGGCCTGGGAGAGGCGTCTCTCTCCTTTGCTCACCGAGAAAGAGGCAAAGGAGAGAAAAAATGTAACATACCAGGAATTTCACCTAGGAAAAATTTTGAGGAAAATTTAAAAACTTTTTGAAAGCTAAAGCATTTGAGAGCATAATAGTTGATCTTAGACTAAAAATCCTGTAAATAAGATAACACGAAGTTTTGTTGGAAAAATATTAGAGCTAATCCAAAATCTAGATTTTATAAAATATTGAGTTAGCAAATCTCAATTCAAGTAAGTTGATTTAACCATAAAATAGGAATTTAATTATTTTGGTTTTGCATTTCAACCTGAGCAAAATATTTGAGCTAAATGAAAACAAATGGAGATATAATATTTAAAATAAGCAAAATTTAAAATGGAAATAAATATACTTGGTTGTATGTGCATTTTTATTATTTTAGGTTTGTTTTTCGATATTCTTGGTGCATCTCATAATAGGTTTCACATGCATGTCATGTCTAAAGAAAATTCCTAAAAATAAATCAAGCAACAACAAATAGCACCAAAATTCTCGTAAATACTAAACAGCATCCTAAGTCTACAGTAATTTTAGTTTGAATTTATCACATCAAATGGTACCTCAAATAAATCCTTTAACTCAGCTAGAAATCTGAAAACAGCATATCATTTAGCCTACTTTGCACCTTCACCAAACTTTAATCATAATTTTTCTAGCTAAACCACTTGGTCAGAATGTTAACTATAGTGTACTCTACCACCTGGTGTAATGGCTTAATTAAATTCGAAATGTAACCATATGAAATGAGAGCCACAAGTTGCTTAAGCAATATTTAGACTGCAGTCAACATGGTAACTTAGGCATCTTTACTAAATTACCATAGTAACTCAAAAAGTAATTAAATCTTGTAACTTGGCACATTGAACCATCAAATCCTTGTCCACCTTGCAGCAACCTTGTCTCACCAAAATTCTAAATTAAATGGAAGAGAGAAGAGGGATTAAAACCACTTGTTAGAATAAATTCAACACTTAGAAAATTTAAAGCTTCTAGGCCTCTCCATCTACATCTCTCTTACAAGTGGGACCTAGCCTGGTGGGACCCATGTGTCATTCGCACCACAGCCAATTCTACTCTAAGCAAGCACTAAAATAATTAGTTTTGATTTGTTAAAAGAGGAAACAAAGAGAGAGAGAGAGAGTGCTTTGTAAACCACTTTTCACCATAATTCATACCCTACCTCACTACTTCTAGGAAGCATCTACATGGGCCCACTTATCATTCACATCATCTATGCACCTTAGTTAAAAACACTCCAATGATCAATCCTTTGTTTAAATCAAAGACAAAGAAAGAGAGAGGGAGTATAAATCAATTTTCACCCTAGAACCTAACCATACCTCTCCATTCTCCTAGGAAGTCACTAATGGGACCCCTTGGCACCCTCTCATTCTAGCATAGATAAAGTACAAACTGAAATTTAGCACTAAACACAGCCCTCACACCCAAAATCGTGTCTATGTCTAAGCTTGCCACCTAACCCCTCCCTTCCAACTCAACATCCATCACTTAGGGTGTGTTTGGTTCATGGTCAAGATAGGATAGGATATGGCCATCCATGTTTTAAGGGATATGGTGGTCCAGTTTTTTGTTTGGTTAGGTGGATATGGCCATCCATTTCCTTGTTTGGTTGGGTGGATGAGAATGGATTGAATGAAAACAACAACATATTAATTAATAATAAAATATGTTAATTATCATTAATATAGCCATAATTTATACTAATTAATAATAAAATAGAGTAACTATATCTAATCAACACTAATTTTGACAAGTTAATTACTAATTAACAATAATATACTTTAATTATTGCTAATCAAGAACTAATGATCAAGATTAGCAAAGGTGGATATCCTCATCCGGCCAATTTGGCCGGATACACTCATCCAGCATCTTCGTGGAATATTCCCTCTCCGGACCGCCCTATCCACCCTTGCCCACCAACCAAATACACTCAAAAACTGAATCGCCATCTCCCATCCAGGGATATCCCTCCAACCAAACACATCCTTAGAGTGCCACTTCACCACAGTGATTTTTATCTATCCCTCATCGTGTTCCACTAGGCAAAACACCAAGAACTTCCTCGGAGAAACCCAGAACACCCTTCTCAACAGGGGCGGATCCAACGTGGGTGTAGGGGGACTCGAATCCCCCTACACCCACAAGACCCATGGATACCCCCGAAGCACCCCCTTTATTTTTTTTCACTATAAATGATAAACTAAAAGTCTCTAGATGGCTGGAGGTTAAAGAAACTGTGTAATTGAGCCCCCAAATTTTTTGTTGCTTGATCCGCCCCTGCTTCTCAATTTTTAACCCGGACATGTTTGATCCATTCCTTGATTTCTCTAGTGAGCTTCGCCGCATTTCATCCATGAGAACGTGATCTACTACCTCTGCCTGATACATCCGTGTCTTTGAAATCTCATTTCGCACAGGTCGAACACCCTGCGTCGAGCTCGTCGTCGCTCCCGACGTCCAGAGCGCCGCCTTGCGTCGCATCGCCGTTCCCGTCCATCCGGTGGATCTCTGGCCGAGCCACTGCGCCAACGACGTCGCCTAGGTCCAGGGAGAAAGACGCCCAGGAAGATCGAAGCCAATACACCGCCGTTGAGGAGATCGAACTCTTCTTCCACAAGTCCGGCCGCCGGATATCGTCGTCGAATCCTTGCATCCGAGTGAGTTTCGGCGCATTTCCTCGCTCGTGTAGCATCCTTAGGTTGTCTTTGAGCCGTTCCACTACTCTTCTTGGCAGGCCGAAGCATGGGGAGTGGTCGTCGCCGTCGCTCTGCCATTCTTTGCCGCCACCGGAGTACTTCTAAGGTCGCCATCACCGTCCATCCATCACCGACCCACAGGCGATATTCCGTAAGTCTCCAGGAGCATCGTAATCACACATGCATGCACCTTAACGCACAAATCCTCACTAGAAATTGTCATGCAAACGCAGACTAGTGGTCACCGCCGCTCGCGCTGCCTCCGGCCATCTCCGGCGACAAGACGAACATCGTCGGGTGCGCAAGAGCCTGGCGCACTTTTCTCCTTTTGGGTGCGACGTCGGACTCGCCGCCGTTCGCCGCCGATGTCGACGTCAAGCCCGCCGGCCGGTGAAGCTTGTTAGAGTATATGGTAGTCAGGGATATATTAGGATAGGATTGATTTGTGTGAACTCCTTCCATATATGTAATCCTTTCTTATCTCATTCCCATGTACTCCTATATATACCGGTCCCCTAAAGCTCAATATAAGTGTGTTAATATTCACAGTATTCCTCTTCCTATACTATCCAACATGGTATCAGAGATCAGAGCGGGCGACCTAGAGCCGCCCCTCTCACGCTTCCGCCGCCGCTGCCCCCGGAAGTAACGATCTCCCGGGGGCGGCCACCCGTTTTTTTTTCGTCTTCGCGTCAGATCGATCTGGTTCAGTTCCCAGATTGGTCGCTGTTGTGTCGTCCTGGAGAGATCAATCTCCGGGCGTTCATCGTCGTTGTCATGAGAGGATCGATCTCGATCTTCTTGGACGACATGTCGTTCGTCTGCATCGTCGTTTGTCGCCGAGACGGATCGATCTCGATCTCCTCGGCGGCCGCGTTCTTTGTCGTGTCGTTGTTATCGACACGAGTCAAGCAGCAGCAGTTAGCACTCGCCGCTGATCTGGTCGCGCCGTTCCTCGTCGTCCTCTACCCCCGTCTCCTGCCGCCCGGACTGGTTCCGTCCTCGTCGCCACTCGTCTTCCCCGTCGCCGCTCGTCTTCCTCGTCGCCGGCCGACCACCGCGCCTCCGCCTGGATCCCTCCGCCGCACCGTCTTCACCGACCGCCTCTCCACCGCCGCCACCCCTGCCCGGTTTTGGAGACCGGCTCCACGATGATGGGCGCCCACTGATCTGGCCGACGGGGCCCTGCCTCCTGCCGGCCTCGGCGCCCCGCACCCTCCACTGGCCGGTCGCCGCATGTTGACCTACGCTGGTCGCCGCCCGTTAACCTACGCCGGTCGTCGGCACCAGCTCGCCACCTGCTGCGCCAAGCCATCGGCCGGGCTCCCTCGCCGTCGCCAGCCTCCAACTCCCGTCTCTCTCTCTGTGGACTGTGCTGCTTCTTTCTGTCAGGGAAGGAAAAAGGGGTGCGAGGTGGAGTTGGTCTGTGGACTTGGTCCATGGACCATGAGGTGACACGTTTTGGACTGCCAATGTGTTACTGTTGCTGTTGTCCATCGGCGTCTGCTTGTATTTTTTTCCCGTTGAACGGGTTTGCATCGCCCACTGCCTCGTCGACATATGCGCGTCTCCAACATCGGTATCGACTCTGCTTCGACTTCATCGTTCCGCCTCGCGCATCTTCGGCTTGATCACCCGTTCAAGCGCCCGGCTACAACGACTTCTGCAACCAATCTTCATCGAGCACGCGTCTACGCCATCAAGCTCTGGGTCGCCGTTGCGTCGCCCCCTTGGGCCGCAGTGCCGTTGCCCATGGTCCCTATCCACTGGCTGTTGCAATGCTGAGAGGCGCCCTTCTCAGCGTGGCCTTACATCGGTGGAGTTCCCGCCGCTGCATCGACATGGAGTTGCACCTGTGTTGTCCTCTCGGACCACAGCCTCGCCGCTTTCGTCGTCTTCATCGCCGTTCGCGTATTGACAACCTCGTCGTCCGCACTGGTCATCGTCAGCCGCTGAGGGTCTTCTTCGTCTACTTCGAGCATCGCCGCCGCATCTCCAAGTTGCCACTGTCGCTGCTCTAGGCCAGTGGTCCAGCTACATATACATGGCTACTGACGTCGCCGTCCAGGCCGTTGGTCCCGCTACTTCTACTTCGTCTAACATGATTCATCGCCAGCGTCGCCGTATCTTCCTCGACTACGCTTCGCTCTTCTCCGACAACTACGTGCTGCTCCGGCAATTCTTCCTCTACGCCGTTCTCGCGCCGTGACCGTCCCGGAGGCCTTCTCTGCTAGTCTTCTCCGACATTGGTGTATGATTAATGGTGGTCCCCTACCTCGCCCGCGCGGTATTGGCAACACCGTTGCGCGCGTTCGTCCCGAGTTGTCCCCGAGTCTGGCAAACCCGGCGAGACGTCTCGTCCTTCATGGTTCGACTACATCAGCTCTTCGGCGTCATCTTCCTCCACGATCGCCGCGATTGTGTCACCGTCTTCGTCTCTAGCGCGTCTTCACGCACCATTGGTTCACGACGCCCTCCTGTGCGTCCACGACCACTCTACGGCACCTCATGCGCTCCCTGCGGCTCAACTATCTCGACATCAGCTTCTTGACTTCGGCTACATCGACCACGGCTACTCTACGCACGGCTTCATCAACCACGGCTACTCTACGCACGGCTTCATCGACCACGGCTCTCTTGGCTCCTTCGCTTTGGCTACGTCGACTACGGCACAAAGGGCTATCATTCGTATTGAGCACTCTTGTCGGTTTTTTTCTCCCGTCCAAGTGTCCACGCTGCTCACGCTTGGACTGCAGGAGGATAATAGAATATATGGTAGTTAGAGTTATATTGGGATAGGATTGATTTGTGTGGACTCCTTCCATATCTGTAATTCTTCCTTATCTCCTCCCCATGTACTCATATATATACCGGCCCCCTGAGGCTCAATACAAGTGTGTCTAATATTCGCAGTATTCCTCTTCCTATACTATCCAACAAAGCTATGCTGCAGCTGCTGTTTCCTCCTCTGCCGAGCCTATGACAGGTGGTCCCCACTTCATTAAGCATTAAGGACTGTGTTTAGAAATAGATCAAAGCATATGGGGTTCTATTTGTAAATAACTAGAGCATGACATGTGGGACCTGAACCTAATTATAAATACATAAAACTTTGAGCAGTCTTAATGAAGATTCAATTAAAACGTGCTAGGGACCTCGGGACCTATTCCTAGAACCACTAGGGACCTTTCTGCAAAATATCTCTCACTGACCAGTGGGCCCTATGTGTTTAAAATCTGGACAATATAAGAAAAATGCCTTGGTGAATATCTAATCAACAGAAAATTAGGTTAACTTGTAAATTGCATATAAAATTCATTTTAGCTCCAATCTGGATGAACTAAATTTCTGTAGAATCACCAAGTATGAACCTTAATATGGAAACATAAAACTTGGCACTTGCAGTAGAAGAAATAGCTCTAATAATTCACATAAGAAATAATGAACTTAGAGCAATCTCCAACTTAGAAAATTCATATAAAATTTATCTTAACTTAATTTGGAGTGAACCAAATTCCAGTGTGCTAAAAAAATCATACACTTGATTTACATGAACTAAAACTTATACTTTCTGTATTAAAATCATCACCAACTATTTAATTGGTAAAATAACTAGTGTAGTGTAAACTAGAAAGTATAAAACCCATAGGTGATTTATTACAACTCCAAATGAGGTGATTCCAGTTCTGTTAGATTGGCAAAAATCATGCACTTAGTTTTTATGAAATAAAATATGGCACATACAGTACCCAAAACATATCTAAAATTCGAAATAACTAATAAAGACTATAGCATATGATCTAGCTTGTAAAATTCATAATAAAATCATGCTAACTTTAAAAATTGTGAAACCAACTTTGTTGAACTGCTGTGAGCATCCCCTTCACTGCAGCAAACCAACATTTCACAAAACTTAGACCTAAAATGCACCAAAGGACTATTAGAGGTTAATTAATCTAGAGCTAGTATTAAACTTTGAAAATTAATAACTCTCAAATGCAAAGTAATAAAATATAAATTATTTCACCTAAATTCATCTTGGACCAGTACCTAACCACACTAGTAAACTCATGCATTTTAGATCATTTTGGATTTTTACATGTTTTGGCATTTATCGTTACTGTTATTTATTTTAGATGGCGAAATCGATACCGGTAATAGAGATGGATTATATCTAATTTCAGTGAGGTCATATATCAACCAAGGCAAGTGTTGCCTTTCCTTTGAACACATTGAATCCCATGTTTTCGGGCTAAATATTTTGATTGTAAATTTGCATGCGTATTTTCTAACTATCGGTACTTCCAAACTATAAATTGTAGTTGTCCCCTAAAAAGATGCATAACTCCCCTTTTGAAAATCACTTCCTTACTGTTTTGAACCTTAGGATTATTAGAGTACTTTGATTGTGCTCATATGACTATACTGTGCTTTTATAAAGTGCAAATGCTTAGCCTTGCTTAGTGATAAACAAAAAAAATATGGCTATGGTTCACTTCCTATACATTTTGCAACACACTTTTTGAACATTATGTTCAGAGGTGATTCTCTGATTATTTGTGAAATAAAATGAGATAAAATGTGATTTTAGACTTGAGTGGCAAATGGTATGCATATGGTAGTAGTTGCATACCGATAGGGGGAGTGTTCGCCTGAGTCGATTAAGAACCGAACATCATATCACCTATTATGTTTACTGTACATCCACATGTGCTCTTATGGGGGGCCTTAGCTGAGTAATCTATTTAGGACTAACCTTGCATTTTGGTAGGCCGGTGTGTATGAGTTAGTCGATAATTCCGAGGGATTAGTCGATGATTCAGAGGAGCTTCCTATTTACCCCTACGTGGTAGTTTAGGTGACTAACCGTGTCCAATACAACGGTATTGTCCCACATGGTGGGTTCCGTCGTGTCCGCCACCACGGCGTTAAGTTTAAGGCGTGGGCTCACCACTTAACGGTTCTAGACATATTTTCAAGTATGCCTAGGATGGAGGAACACGTATCGTGCTAGTGCAAGGCTAGATTCTAAGTAGTGTAAAGGCTTCGTTGTCACCTCTAGACCCACTCAATGTGTAGAGTGTGGTAGTACCGACGGGTATCAGACAAACTAGAGCGATTCACATCTTGTGGGTAAAGCTGTACAAACTCTGCAGATTTCTAAAAACTAATCGATTAGCCGTTGTCACGGTCATGAGCGACATGATGTGCCTCCACATCGCCATGGCTCATCCGCCGCCATCGCGTCGTTCACCACCGGTGGCGACGGCCTCCCCTCCCCCTCTCCACCGCCGACCTCCAGAGGCGGTCTACGAGGTGCTCTTTGCATGGGCACGGCGGAGATGGCTCCCTCCTCCCTCTTGGCGCTGCTGGTGGTGCGGGTGCGGGTGGCGACGGCTAGCGCGGGCGCGGTGACGGTGGGCGGGTGGAGAGGGCCTCCTCCGACGGCGACCGCAAGCCGGCCTCCGCGGGCTCCCCGCCTCCTAGCGCCGCCGCCGCCGCTTGCAGGGCACAAGATCCAGATCAAGAGCGCCAACATGAAGGAGGAGATGCGCCAGGAGGCCTTCGACATCGACCGCGTCGTAACGACTCGATTCCCCCCACCTCCCTCCTCTCAATTCCATTCTTCCTGATTCGGATTGCTCACGGTTTGGGGGGGTTGCGATTTGAAATGGTTTTTTGTTTTTCTTTGTTCAGTAGGCGTTCGAGAAGCACACCATGGAGAAGGACATCGTGGAGTACATTAAGGAGTTCGACAAGAACCACGGCCCTACCTGGCACTGCATTGTCGGCCACAACTTCGGTACTCCTCTCTCTTGCTGGAAATTGCTTTGGTACGACATCATGTCATGATTTATGTTCAGTCCTCTCGTGTTGATTGGGTTGGGTGTCCGCGGCACAATTTCATCTATTCTAGAGCTTATAGACTAACCGAATGATAGAAGTCAATATGTGTTTGGTCGATAATGATAGAAAAAGCCTTGTGAAATCTTCCTCGTATTTGCTGATGAAATTTGTGTTGGCTAATGTTAATTTCTGTACAACATAGTAGCTTCATGTACTCCTATGTATTAGTAGTAAGATATGTTTCTTTAATGATTTATCGACTGATTACCCTTTTCTGGTTTGAGAACCCAATCTGGAAACTACCATTAGTTGTACTGGTTTATATCTATATATTACTTACTGACAAGCATAAACACTTTTATCACTAGTTATTTGATGGCTATACTGTATTACCGTTTATGGTTTCTGCTATGCACAAAATGAGAGTATGGAATACTTGCCTATAACAGTGCAAAACAGTTGACTCAGGCCACAGAAGAGGAAGAATTTTACTCCTTACTTTCTTGAGTTTCTAGCATCGCATGTAAAGTCAGGACACATATTGGGGCTAAATTGCAGCTCTGGCAGTTGGCATAGTGGTCATATTTGTTGCTACCAGTTTACTATATTATGGTGGAATTTGATAATATTTGTGGTCAAAATCAGCTTGACCATGTATGCCCTCATCCTTGAAGTGATTTAGTATGTATTGCCTGTACTCTGCGGCAATGAACAATGAACATCTAGGGTTAAAATGGATCATGTTGTAAGTAGTGGTTTATACAATATGTGTTGGATATTTATGTTTCTGAAAATGTATTGTAGAGCGTTTTGTGTCAAATTAGTAAAAGTTCATCCTCAATAAACTAAAATGATTATAACACATTGCAAAGCTTGCCTCGATCGCTATACATCAGTTCATTTTGGCCTGCAGGCTGCAGGGCCATGGATATCAGGCCTCCAGGACCTGGTGAACAAAGAGATTGGCTCTAGGAGCAAAAAGGCCTGCAAATACTTAGTCTCCCTCTCCCACCGTACAAGCTGAAAGGTCACTATTCTATATTGTCTATCCATAGCAATACTGTACTTTACTGATTTGCTGGTTTTCACCTTGCTTACAGAAGATATGCTATAGGTAGCAAGCAAGACAGTTTCCATTTTATATAGTCTTATCTCAGTAACTTGTTGAACTATTTATTTTTAAGAAACAGCTGGCTACTTGACCGTTGATAATTAATGAGCTTATGTGATCATCTATGCAGGTCTGTTTCTTGGCAAAAGATATGCAAGAAGTAAATGAGAAGAAGAGGCAACAACCTTGTCCTCCCACCAGTAGATGAATTTGGCTGGATTTGGCTGTTAACTGGGTTGTAAATTTTGTGTTGTATTGGATGTTTGTTGGGTTGTGTTGGATGCTAATTGGGCTGTAACATTTGTGCTATATGGGTTGTTATTGTGTTTGATTGTTGGGCCTATATGGGCTTAGCCCACTTATTAATTGATACTAATATAAATGAATATAATATGACGGGCTGAAAATGGTGTTGTATAATGTTTAGGCTTATATGGGCTTTTGCAATGGACTTGGCCTATTTATTATTTGATATTAAAGCAAATGGATATAATAGAATTGGGCTGAAAATATGCTATATCATAGATGGGCCAGGCTAAAATCTTGTCAGGCTTGCCATTGGGCTAAGCCCATAAATAGGGTGCTCAATACATGGATTTTAATGGGCCATCAGATATTTTATGATGTTTTTTAGGCTAGATAATGACGAATATGAGCGTCACAAAGTTATGACGATAGAAGGATCGTCACTAGATTAATGACGAAAAAAATAAGGTTTCATCATACAATGCCATTAGAGACGCATGATAGGTGACGAATGAATTTTTGTCATGCGAGCGTCACAGATTACGAAACGTGACGAAAATTTCAATGTTTGTGACGTAAATGAATCGTCATCTATCATAAGATCTTTTGTAGTGATGATGTGCTATGGGTATAATCTTGTGATTTCTAAATGCTTTTGGAACTAAATGTTTTGAGATGATGATGAGATTGGTATCCCTTCTTTCTATATAGTTAAGACCCAAAGCTGATTTGTGGTTAAGCCACGTCACCTGTAAAATCTCAGCTATTCAATCTAATCTGCGATCTAATCTGGGCGCTCGATCTTCTCCTTTCTCAGCCGCCGCCAGATGCGCGCTCCTTCTCCGCCCCGCATGCGCCCACGCGAGCTGCACTGTGGGCCCGCCGCAGATGCGGATTCCCCTCGCCCACCGCGCTCGCTTCTCCTCCGCCCCGTGCGTGCGCGCGAGATGCGGTGTGGTCGATTCCCCTCCCCCGGCGGCTGCTTCCCCAGCACGTGCGGGCCCACCAGCCGGCTTGCTCGCTTCTCCTCCCCGTGTCGCATTGCCTCCGCCGTCCCCCACGCGCCAGCCACACCGCAGCGCTACGCCCCTGTAGCCCTAGCCTGGCACGGCTGCAGGTATCGCGCGTTTGAAGAGCCCTAGCACCATGTCGGCTTCAAACGCCCCCTCCCTCATCCTCTTTAGCATTAGAGACAATATTCACTTCCTCCCTTAATCACCCGCATTTACAATAAAAACCGCCAAATTAATTGGGTGAGGAGGCGCAGTGGTTAATACAAGTCATGTGCTCTACTCCCTGCAACAATTTTACTCAAGATCGTCGTATCGCCTACTCATGGCCCTGTATAAAACGGCCGGCCTCTCCAGTTCTACATCCGTCATGGTCTCTCTTTGAATTCCTCTCCTCTCATATTCACAACAGGCAAGTTAAATCTGGCTCTCAGAACCATAAACAGATATTAGGATCATGCGAGTGTGAGAATGTCTTGTTGTTTATTCTTCGCAGTTGCATATGTTGAGGCTGCTATGATAATTTTCTTCTTCTTGATGCAGCGTTCACATTGGGAATTTGGGTTACCATACCATATCCTGCACATTGCTTCTTCTTCACTATCAAGGTTGGTCCACTCCCACTGTGTTTCTTCCGTTACTTCTGCATCACCTTTTTGCTTACATACATATATATTATATTGCTGAAAATAGTTAACCCCCAATTTTTATTGATCCAATAATGGTTAATGGTTTATGGATATGTATTTGGGCTATGTGCGAAGGGAATGAATTCAGGTATGTATATGATAGTTTCAGAGATTTGATGGTTACGACTTAGGAGCATGGTGAAATCTGAATCACTATTTTTGTTTCTAAACAAGCTGCTCTAGGTTTGTTGACCCCCTATTCACAAGTTTGGATTGCTTAGTGCATATTGCAATTGCTGTCAGGCAATGCTAATTTCAGTTTGAAGTTTTGTTTATAACTAATGGCCAAGTAAAGTTGTTGGTTGCTGAATTTTCACACTAATCTTTAAGTTTTACATGGTAAGATAACATATACATGCTCATCTCTTTGTTTTGAATCATATTGAGTCAAATAAATCTTATGTTTTTGGTGCTTCCTGTTTCATGTGTGCAAGTCACTGAAACAGCTCTGAGAAATTAAAGTTTATGGTGGAACAAACATGATAAAGGTGAGCCTTTTTCTAAAATCATTGTTTGATGAAAACAAAACAACGAACACACAGAAAATAGGGAAACCCTGTATTTTATTAATCATGATTCATGTTAACATGAATGTTTACAAATACATGAGGGCTCCCGCAGGAGTTCGCCTTTTGCCTTCGCGAGGAATGCTTAATGGAAATGTATGCTGACTAGAGATTGTGTGTAGTCCGCTGATTCCCGGCGCCTAGTAATGAGACTACCGGTTAATTACATCCACAGGAGCGAGCCTATGGAACACCTCCGATTAAGCTGCGCTTTATGATCGTCATCTTCAAAGTTGTTTGCTCGCCGAAGGTTGAGGTTGGTGTAGACTTAATGTTGAATATAGTGAATGTGGAACGGGTGGCTTTGTTTCGCCAAAACCCGGTCACAGTATACTACCATCACGTCGGTGTGCGGAGGGAATTTGGTGAAGGGGTGACCTTTGCCTCGTCGGTGCCCAGTCATGTACCCCGACCTTCATCAAACATGGATTTTGTGGTTGCTTTGCCTCGTCGGTGCCAAGCAACGGTGTATCCGGTTCCCGTCCATTTTAGACGTGTTAATAATGTAGTGACCTGACCTTGTCGGCACTCAGCCATGGTTTCGTCTAGCCTCATCGGTCATAGACAAATGAAATGAGTGAATGGCTATAGCTTTGTTAGCTTTGGCCAATATGTCGTCCGGCCTCATCGGTCTCGGACATAGCATAAATAATGATAAATCGGCCATTTCATCTCGTCAACATTCGGCCATGATGTCGACGTGTGTTTTAAATCTGCATGCCCCGCCCTCCTGGCTAGCATTGTTTTTGTTGTCTTCAAGAATTTTGAGAGTCACCCCCATCCATCTGATAGAATTTAGAGAGAGAAGAAATTGCTCTCGTACATGACATGCACGAGGCAAATCTATAACTCTTTCGGCATGAATATAAATATGTATAAATCATGGTTGGTCCGATGCCAATAATTAAGGCTCAAACTCATCCCAAGTTTATATAAATAAATATCCATATCCAATATTTGATATTGATAATTTAGACGGTCCAACCCTCATGAGGGTCAGGCTCGCCTTGTATTTATTTGCAGCTCATGTTAATCGCTTGACAAAGATGACGTGTGCGTGTGCATGCACGACATATTCATCAGTACTCCACTTTACTGTTTTACCGTCTCGACCGTGCAACTGCACAACGCTACGGTGTATATTTGCTCCCTCTAGGAGATGATGCCGGGCTATGCATAATATCTGCACAGCACTACGGCGTTGTTGTGTTATCTTGGATAAGCAGCTTGATGGAGAACGAGATCAGCTTGTTGCTGAAGACTCGCCGATAGAGATGCCATCAGCGCCAGCGATTACAGGTTGCTGATCCGCGATCACGCACCCTGTGTCATGCGCATGCATCTTCTTTCTAATCTCTCTGTGAATATATGTGGGTGCGGGTGTGTACCTCTAGGGCATATTGCTGCTTAATGGCGCAGCGCTTGCGCCCTGTGTTCCTCTCCTTCTCCTTCACGAGGGACGGAGTCGGTGCCTTTTATAGGCAGAGCTAACGATGGATGGATCAGGCTGAGACTCTCAACCGCGTCCGCAAATCTTGGGCTAATCACGCTTAAATATTTGATCTCCTCCGGATAATGGACATGCTTAACAAACATGGTACTTAATTAGCAAGCAAATAATGCGCTGATGACAGTGGCCCTGGACATCATTTGCATGCCTTGGCTGTGCTTGCCGATAATCTAGATATAATCGTCATTAATCTGACGTGATTATCAAAAGCAACCAACCAACCATATGGCTAGCACTAGTCAATTTTCTCCCCCATATAATCTTTGATAGCTCATACTTTTCATATGATATATCCTATTCAAAATCCGTTTGTACTTATGGTCTCTACTCAAAATATAGAACAAAACGAGTCCAATATTGATTATATTTGGATGTCGTGCGATATTTGAATTTTTCTGGACCCATACATCATATAGACACGCCTCACATGTATTCAGTAAAATTGGGCTGCGAATAATATTCTCATATAAAATTAATGCCCAATAATTTATTATTTCTTCTATGAATTTTTAGCACAAAAATTCATCAAACAATCATATTAGCATTTCATGAACGATATGACAAAACCAATTTCTAGGGGTCTAAGATGTGTCCGGAATTTGTCCTTCAAAATTGTTTGTACTTTTCTGTGGGCATGATTTTATAGGACTTAGAGTTGTTTGGTCTGATCAAATTCCTTGGCGCACATTTCAGTAACTAAGTGTAATTTGTTATTACGTGCTTTACTCTAATTGTGTCCTAACAAAAAAACATGTAAGAGCATGAATGGCTAATTGTTTTTCAGTTGAAGGTGATGTATCTGTCAAAGAACAAAATGTCCTTCGGTGACCAACTAAATGTTAAAAATATGCTGGCCCTATCTCTCGAAGGTGCCTCATAGAGTTAGAGTGTGCATATGTGCCTTTATAGGGATAAGTGTGTGAGTGTGTATATGAGTTTGTATCTTTTTGTTGTTGTCCAATTTTTTTCTTGATCCTTTGACAACAAGATACATGTTTTAGGGACTGTTAGGTTTCACTGAATTAAAAGATCGGAATTTCACTTACCCCAAATCAAACACTGAATTTGAGGAGGCGTGCAGTAGACTCCAACCTAACCTGAAGCAGGAGAGAGGAATAGTAAGCAATAAGCGAGTGAACAAAATATGCACAAGGGTTTAACATTTCCCTTTATTAAGCAGAGATATTTAATTGTTGTTATAGATTACGAGTGTGTACGTACTGTTGAAACATTTGGTAGCGAGAGTATTTAAGTTTGCTATATCGATTCTCTCTTTTTCTCTCTACCTATGGAATTAGTTTATTTTACATGTAGCATATTATCTTCTCTTAAAACATCATCCATACGAATTTCATCCAAATTATTTTTACAAAATCCCACAGCAACGCGCGGGGTATTCATCTAGTATGTGATATGATTGACTTACTTTCCGTTGTGTTGTAAGGGAATGATGTCTATCTATTTATGTTGATATCATTCCATAATTAATATGCTTTACACATTGCTTAAATGCTTTGCTTAAATTACGTTGCAAATGGTTTGTGAATTTTACTTTATGCTGAAAATTGAAACCACATATAGTCTTCCTTTGACTTAGAGCTTTCATGTATGTAGGTTTGATAGTGCTCTTGCTAGTACATTAATTTGATTAATGTACTGAGCCTTGCCATATGTTGTTTAATTTATGTTTTGCAGGAATAGACTTAGTTAGATTTGAGTGATGCGGGTTTCGACTGCCTCTTCAAGGATTTGAACTTAATGGGATAAACCCCTAGTCGGTGTGCTTGAGGATTACGTAGTCAAGCTTCCGCTGTTCTAATATTTATATTTTGCCGATCGGCCTATCTATCTATTAAATAGATGTAATCTGAATTTTATTTGCTTTAGATGTATCTTGCTATGTATATTCATGCTTAAGATGAAAGTGTGAATCTAGTGCATATCCTGGAAACTAGATTCACATGAATATGAGTTAAGAATTTTTGAGATGTTGTAGATCTTTAGCCATTTTTGTCAAGTCTCCTGAATGTGTAACACATCTAGTCGCCGCCTTCGAGTGGTTTGACGGGCACATCTCAGGCTGAAGTTGACTGACAGGCTAAAGGCCCAGCAATGTCTCCAATATTCCTCTCTGGAGGCGTCGGATGTTTCATTATGCTTGTTTGATGACTTGAATTATTCATTGAATCTCTCAATTATAATGGAAGGTTCGGAGAGCCTACGACAGCCGGCGACAGGAGTAGGCGGATTGAGGTGACGACGGACCGGATGGCAGCATTGCGCCTCTCCGTTCCATCCTCCCCGAGACCGGACGAGGGTGAAGGCCGCGCGGATCTGGAGGGACGACGCGCTCTGCCTTTGTCGCCACCGCCGACTACTCGAACTCGCATGGTTTTTTTGGTAAATTTGCTACATGATACTCAAAGTTTGTGGTATTTAGTATAGGACACTGCGAAAACATGGTAATTAGTTGCTGGATACCGAACGGATTATTTATTACATTTAGTATAAATAGAGAGAGACACTTTCCAAAATTACGAGTTTGCCCATACGACAAGTTTCTTTTTAACCCAACCGGGTCCGGACCATGAAATTGAGAATGGACCGGATCGGGAGAGTGATAATGGTTTGGGTTTGGTTTGAACCAAACCTATTGACCTTACAAGTCGATAGACACATGGGCAAAATAGTACCTAGGTTTCTTTCTCTGCTTGCGCCAGATATAATAAAATAATACGTGCGATGTCCAGCAGCTAATCACCATGTTTTCGTAATGTCTTGCAGCTAATACGTGTTCTTTGGGTGTCATACAACAAATACTGCAAACTTGAAGTTTCTCGTAGCAAATTTTTACTTGAAGTTTCTCATAGCAAATTTTAACTTTTTTTCAATAGTAGGAAATATAACTATTCACAATAGATGATTGTGGTGATTTCGTCAATCCGAAAATACATCGGTCCAGTATCACGAAAGAGCTCATTGGGGGTGACGTGAGCATATGTGCATTCACGGGGCCGAGTGTGCGCATGTATGTGAGTGTTTACATTTATATTTTGTTTGTAAAAAAAAAGCCTTGACGATAAAATTGTGTACTTATAGTGGGTGCAGAGATCAAATGCTATGTTTACAACACTTCATTTATCGTTAGAAAAACAGACGAAAATATATGACATGAGCCAATCGCAGCCAGCTGGACTTCATGCAATACAATAGTATCATGTGATTAGAAAATTAAGCACAGGTTTACACCAGTGTAATATAGTACAATATAGTACAAGAAACGTTTTATTTTTGAGAATATAGAAACCGATAAACTCATCTGCTTCTTGGGCCTGCGACAAAAAATGCATGGTTCCGACATTTGGCCCAGCAACAGAAACAGACAATACACAAGAGAAGCAAAACGAAACCCTCGCTGCGCTGCTCACTCCCACCACAAGCGCCGCCTCCATCCACTCCACTCTCCTCTCCGCTCTCCGTCGCCGCCGCTGCCGGCCGGGGAGCTGCCTCGCTGCGGGCTGCGGCCATGGACTCGATGCAGACCAACATGCTGCATCTGATGGGCCTCGACGAGACCATGAAGATGGTGACCAAGAACGTCTTCTCCTCCCTCCCCGACGCACCCGTCTCCCTCCACGCGCCCCTCGCCTTCGCCGCCGCGGCGAGGCCGCCGCGCGACGGCGTCGACCGCACCGGCGCCCTCCCCGTCGGGATCCTCTGCGACATCCTCTCCCGCCTCCCCGCCAGGGACGCCGCGCTCACCTCCGCGCTCTCCACGCGCTGGCGCCGCCTCTGGCGCTCGGTGCCGCTCGTCCTCGCCGACGCCCACCTCAAGCACACCGGGCCCCCTCCGCCTCCCGTGTCCGAGATCGACCAGGTGGACGGCCTCGGCGGCGTCCTGCGCCGCGCCGTCGACGGCACGCGCGACGTCGCGTCCGCCGTGTCCAGGGCCCTCGCCGCGCACCCGGGGGCCCTTCCGCAGCGTCCACGTCACGTGCACCCGCATGGATGCGCACCACGCCGAGCTCGCGCTCTGGCTCCAGCTCCTCGCCGCCAAGGGCGTCCAGGAGCTCGTCTTGGTCCACCAGGCGTCCAAGCTCGACGCCGGCGTGCGCCTCCCGGCCACGCTCTTCAGGTGCAGCTCCCTCACCTGCCTCTACATCGGCTTCCTGAGGTTCCCGGACGTCGCCACCATCCAGCGCGCCGGCGCCTTCCCCCACCTCCGCGAGCTCGGCCTCTGCTCCCTCGTCATGGGTGTGCGGGACCTCGCCTTGCTGCTCGACAGATGCCCCGTCCTGGAGAACCTCGAGATCGTCGGCCACCGGGAGCTAGTGCGCCTCCGCGTCGCCAGCCATAGCCTGCGCTGCGTGGAGTTGTGCGAGTCCGTCGTGGAAGAGATCACCGTGGAGCATGCCGCGCGCCTCGAGAGGCTCATGTTCTGGGAAATTTGCGGGGTCGGTGGCGTCATCGACGAGGATGGTTGCTCCATCAACATGTGTACCAAGATCAAGATTGGCCATGCACCCAACCTGCGCTTCCTTGGATTCTTGGTGCCTGGAATGCATGAACTGAACATTGGCAACACCATCATCAAGGTGTGGGCCGCAGCATTTTTCATCTCGTTTGATTTTGTCCCAAATGAGTGAATCTTGATTGATCTTGGATTTCTCATCTCACTGAATTGCACAATTTTTCAACTGCAGGCCGGGACTAAGGTGAGCCCAAAAAACATGGTCCGCAGCGTCCGGGTGTTGGGAATTCAGGTGAAACTTTTTAACCACAATGAAGTCAAGATGTTGCCTATCTTCCTCAGATGTTTTCCCAACGTCGAGACACTCTACATTCAGGTAAATAGCTTCACCATGAATGATCCAATTTGTGTGACTGCCATCTGCCAAATATGTGTGCTCTGACTCCGAACCAATTTAATTTGCAGTGCGAGACCACTATCCACAAGCCCCCTGGCATGCTCAATCCCAAGTTCTTGCAGCAGACTGGCCCAATCGATTGCCTTCAGAAGCATATCAAGAAGGTGATCATCCGTGAATTCAGAGTACATAGGAGCGAGCTTGATTTCGTCAAGTTCATCGCTGAGCGTGGGCAGGTGCTGGAGAAGATTGTCATTGTGCTGGCACAATCGTATTCGTCTTCAGCTGATCGTCTGCATTCCAGCATGAGGACTTTCATGGCTTCTGTCAAATTGGCCAATGAAGACTGTAAGGTGATTGTGTGTGAGAGCCCGTTTCCTTCGGATGGTACAGCATGGTGCTTCCAGGGGGCATTCAACATGTCAAAGGACCCTTTCGACGTTTCACAGTGCTCCAATAGCGGCGCCTCATGCCGAGCTGCTTAGTTTTCTGTCACAGCATGTAGAAGCAATGCATTGCTTGTTTGTTGAAAATGTGCTTTTTTGATTGGAAAGAGCTCTAACTTCTAGCCTGAGTGACTTATGTTTTGAAGATATTTAGCTGTGTTATTTGTCATGCGAAAGCCTGAACCACTTGTTGATGAGTTTCAGTAATATTGCATTGCACTAGCCACTAGCTATGCTAAATAAGCACCTGGTAATGCTAATATTTCGCTTGCTTTTATGCTATTTTCATTGAGAATGTTCCTTGAGATAGATTGGCCCATCTGTCATCATATCTTATTGGTAATATTTTGCTTCCATCCATTTTCCTGTGCAATTTTTCAAGATTTGTTTTTTAATTTGCCTTACTACAATGATGCTTAGGATGCTAGCTGTACATCATTCACTGTTTGCTTTGATAATCCGAATCGTGCTGATATGCTTATTATGTTTTAGGCATGTGCCATTTTTGGTGGTTATATATTTTTTTGCTGTGATTTTTTTGTCGGAGTATATGTATGTTTGCACGGTGAAATGTTTCTCATGTAATATAGAGTGGTTGGCCAGAATGGGGGTTGGCATTTTGTTTTGCAATCCAAGGAGATATTATATACTAATTTACAGATGTTGCACACATTCTTATGAAAAGAGTTCATTTCATTGGCCTGTCTAAAGAAGAAAATAAACTGTTTCAAACAAAGTGAGTAGCAACATTAGCAATCCAGGTGGTAGTGCTCAAATGTTTTACTTGAACCATTTTAAGATTCTTTCTACGCTCAAAAGAACCGTGTACAATTATCATAAACTACCTTAGCCATTTGTTTTTCACATGAAGGAAAAAAAATGAACGAATGAAAAAAAGATGCTATGAGAACAGTAATCCAGGTTAGAACCATTAATAATTTACATTGGTACGGCATATTACCTATGGAATGCCTTAAAATTAGCATATATTTTTACGCCTCCCTTCTCAAATCCTGGATTCACCATTGACTAGCTCGGCTTGGCTTATTAGTACAACTAGATGATTCTCCGCGCTTTGCTGCGGAAATTAACTTTTAATATTTCTTAATAATCGAGCTAAAGTAAAAAATAACAAATAAAACTGGTTTGTCAAACTATGTTAAGAGAGAAATAAATTTAGTGGACAATTTATGAAATTGTAGATGAAATATGATATCCCATGCTTTGATTATATGGACGAATATATGTTAAGTATTATAAAAAGATGGATATATAGATGTTAAAAATATTGTGAAAAATAATGTGAAGGAAGATAATTGGATGTTGATTTGTAGAATTCAATTAATTATAGATGATGTTGCTTGCTTGCATAAGTTTTGTATGTAATTATTGCTAGTGGATGATGAGGTGGCATGTTTGCATGTTGAGCTTTAGAATTAGTGAGTTATAATTTTATAGTAAGATAGGATTAGGTAATACCCAACACTTTGCTGTGAAATTCATGGATAGATATATGTTAAATATTGTAGAAGTGATGAAAATTGAAATGTTGGGAAAATAACGTGAGGAAGATAATTTTATTGATATCTACAATGTAATATTGTACATGATGTGTTATGTTTGCATGGGATTTAAAATGTGCCAAAATAGTATTTGCTAATAGGTGATGATGTGGCATGTTTGCATGGGATTTAAAATGGACTAGAATAATAATAATTGCCAGTGGATGATGATGTGGCATGCTTGCATATTGAGTTTTAGCTTATAATAATTGTTAGTGGGTACCAACTATAAAGAAAGTATAAGAATAGAGATGAACGCTAGCTCAGCTTGGATCGCCTACCAGATTAATCTGGCTCGTTAAGCTCATGAGCCAACACAGCTAAACCATAAATCTGCAAATGCAATCTAAGTTCAAGTTTAGAAAATCAAACCAAATCACAAGTTTTAGGGTCTGCAAATACAATCAAATCAATTGTGAAATCATGATGATTTAATATGTGATGAACAAATTGTCAAAGGTACGTGTTTATTGAAAATACGGTAAATAGTGTTTTCGGTCGGTAAACAGTGCAGCTGGCACTGGACTGGGTGGCTAGTCAGACATGAGGTGTTGGTGCGGTTTGACCGGGTAGCCTGACAGTCAGACCGACAGACTCTGTATTGGAGTCGGTTTCGGGAGGTTTTCATGGATTTTCTAGATTGTTTCATGGATATGACTTCTAGATGATTTATATTTGTATGTGATACTATTGTGTGCTGATGTGAGTCAAGTTGGTGTGAACTTGTACTCAGATATGAAATTGTTTTGTTGTTCATGTGCAGGTGTTGCTTGAGGTCATGGGAGTATAGCCAGTGATGGATTGGAACTAGGCTTGGTAGAAGTTGAGGTCCAGACGGTTAAGGATATCATACGGAATGCTCAGGTTAGAGAACAATGCATGTGGAGGTGAAGGTTTTCATATGACATACACATGGTGTTGTGTGCGTATGTAAAGAGAAGTCAAATTTGAATTGAAGTGCAAGTTTGAAAAGATTTGATTGTGGAGTTGTATGGGGATGTTGTTTCCCTGGTTCGGTTGGTTTCCAATGTAATTAGGAGTCCTAGTTCTAGTTCGTTTCGTGGCTAGGGGCAACCATGTTGTGGGTATAAATAGAAGAGGGATTAAGGCTAGAAGGTACTGATTTTTTCGGAGAGAAAAGTTAGGGTTTGCTTCGAGGTTTCAATCCTAGCCCGTGAGTTGAGAAAGTAGTGCTTTTAGATGCATTTTGTAAATACATATTGATGCAATAAATTTGGTCTACTTTCAAGAGTTTTGTCGATATTTGTTTTTCTTAGTCCCGACGGTTTGACCAAAGGGGAGCGGTTTGACCAGTGGAAAGACGGCGGTCTGACCGACGGCTTGGAGATGGTTTGACCTTCGCAAGGCAATAGTTTGACTGATGCAACTTCATCAAATTAAGGATAACTTTTATTTCCCACTAAAAGTTTTGGTTTTGGTGTTTCTACCATTCACCTCCGTCTGGCAGGCTTGGTTTTTTTTGTGTTCGATCTTACATCAAGGAGTCATAGATTCCAATGTGCTTGCTCGTGCTCATGGCTCTTCCCCATAACTGAGCAGAGCGACGGCCAAAGGAGGGGATGGTGAACAACGGCCTAGGGCAGCGTCTAGGACCTAGCATAATGTAAGGGTTGGTTGGCTAGGGCTGGTGGCTGGCCGCTATATTGGCATGACACTGCCACAACCGTGCTGTCGGCTTGGGCGGTGGCGCTATTGGTCAAGGTGAGCATGAGACGAAGAGACTAAAAAGGAGTTAAGGGGAGGAGAGTACTATACCGACTATCACATGCCTGCACCAGGTTTTAGGGTTAAGTCTCTTAAAGATGGACATATGGGCTTTTTCTTTGAGCTCATTTGGCTCACAAGCTGCTCACCTCGTGGCGCCTCATTATATCTAACGAACTAAGACATCAGCTTAGCTCAATAACACATCTAATCAAATCAAGCCGAACCAGACGTGAGCCAAGCGAGTGTGTTTTGGTTTTTCTTCACGCCCTATGTGTGAGGATGGGCAACACGTCGTTCATATAACAAATATTTAATTGCTTCTTTGCTGGTTAAGCTTCACTGTGAACGTTGTATCTATTGTAGTGTCACATTTCTACCACACTTAAATCTCCATTGAAACGCAGAGCTAAAAAAAAGTAGAATGGAAAAAAGATAGGATTTTCATATGCATACAATTGCAAAACAGAGGATTGCAAAATACCATAATAACCATTTTATTAGCTCGCTCGAAAAACGTAGGAATCGGATGAGAGAGACTTAAAAAGAAATTGTCTAATAGGTTGAAGCTCTTGCTATCTTTTTCCAAAATAGGAGCGGCAGCGAGGCGGAGGGGGGAGGTGGGAGAGAGGGCGGACTGGTCGTCCCCTCCTGAGCCGCCCTAGGGGAGAGCGATGCGAGAGCCCAAGGCTGAAGTCTCTCTCTTTTGCTACTACTCAACATTGTACTGTACTTATAGTAAATCCCATTTGGGATGAAATACATATTTATTGTGCCAACCCAATGGACCAAGTCCTTCTATTTTATAGGCACCTAGTAATATATATTTTTCATAAGAAGGCAAGAGACCATTTGGTTTATATTGAAAATATAGGAAATTTGAAGGATTTCAATTATATACGAAAAATTCATACGAGGGCCTTTGCAGCAAAGCGTTGAATCCTATTCATTACTTCAAAAAATTCTATGGAGTGGACAAACATCTTATGGAGCTGCCTCATCTAGCTGTCGACGATGATTGATTTGCGAAGGCAGTTTGGCTGCCGATGCCTTCCTCCGTCAAGCAGCGCAGCGCTGCCCCTTCCTAGTGCTAGCCACTCTGCCGCCGATTCCTCAGGCCCACTCGGCCACTCGGTTCCGTCTCGCCGCTACCGCGTGCCCAACCTCGATACGCAATGCCGCTTGTCTCCTCTTCCTTTGTCCGCGGCGATGCCACCTTCCTCTGCTAACGAACACCGGAGCTCGCTCCTTCCTCCGCTGATGAACACCGGGAGTCCGAAACTCGTGCCAGTAGTTCGCTAATGACACCACACTAGCATCACCAACCGAACATGTAAATTCAAACCCCAGTAATCTGAATTTGCGAATCCTAAATTAAATTTGTTAAGTCAGAAAAGTCCTCCTTTCAAGAGATTCTGTAAAATTTACTCCCTAAAACAGAAAAGTGGGCCCATAGAAAGCTACCAACTAAAAAATCAGTTATCCACCTCCTCTCACGTGATTTTTTTTTCCACGCCACTTCTCGCACGCGGCAAAACTTGCGAGAGAGATCCCGAAACGCTTTGTACTCCCTATCTACTTCATACATCCATTACATGATATAATATAATGATCTTTAAAATATTTTTTCTCCTAAACTACTTATCCAATCGATGATATGATCACACCATTATATTTGTTATAATTAAATCTTTACAACAAGATATCACATCATTACATTCCGATGAAAGAAAAACATATGTTTTAATCCGTTAAAATTTAATGTTTCAGACACAGTAGCAATAAGTTTCAACACATGTTTTCATTATGTTTCATAAAAAAATTAAATATTTCGATAACTGAATTTTTTGTTTCACCATATATAACCTAATGTTTCATAAATGACTGAGGAAAAGTATGAGATGTTTACGTCACTAATCTCTCCTGTCATTCGATTGGTTTTCTCCCCACGCCATGCATGCATGTATTTAGTGATCTTAAAAATACTTTTTCTTCTAAACTATTTATCCGATGAGCGATTTGATCATACCGTTGAATTTGTTATAATTAAATCTTTACGATAAGATATCACGTGACTATATTCTGATGAAAGAAAAACATATATTTCAAACAATAAAAGCTTAATGTTTCATATGTGATAGCAATATGTTTCACCATGTGTTCTAATTGTGTTTCACAAAATCTATGTATGTTTCAGAGGCTGATTTTTTTTTTGTTTTAGCATGTATAACATAATGTTGCACCAACGGTCAACTGAAATATTTGACCGTCTGCCATCGGACGCCTGATTTATAGCTCTCTCCTAGAGAGATCGCGCCACCTCTGCCACGGGAAGGAGGCGCCACATCTATTGCGGGATTGGGAGCGGCATTTGCGACACCCCGATATAAACCGAGCGAGGAATCGGAAGAAGGGAACTCCAAAATTTGCAGGAGAGTAGGGGATTTGTTGGAGCTGTTTTTTTTTTACTAAAATCTCCCAAAATCAGTTTTGGAAATCAAATAGGTGAACTGTTGGTGATACTCTCATTCACTTCCCCATGGACAGAAATACCCCTCGATAAATCTTAATCAACTTTTAATCTGAGCCGGTGACGTGCTTGAATCTCCGTGCGTTATTTTGGTTGAGGAGCACAGAAGCACATCACTTCTTTTTTATGATTCCCTAACTCGCACAATTCAGACCGTTGTCACTGTGATCTACTGTGATGTCCAAACTTTTTCCAAATTTGTGAGAAGCGTTAAGAGAAGGATAGCCCTGCATTTGAGAGTGGATGTTGGAAACCTTACTCCACGCAAATAAAATGAGGTGACTCATTAGTATTTAATTAATTAATTATTAGCTAAAATAAATTAATGTCACGAAAAAGAATTCCATTTTTTTTATTAAGAAAGAATTCCGTTCTATTGTTGCACGCTGCAACAATCATTCCTATATATAATTTTTTTGAGTGGTTGTTTTAGAGTTTATGCGCCGTGAAGGGTCTATAAAAAAATCATAACCAAATTTGAAAGCAATCCTAATTAAACAGATTTTTGATATAAAAAGTCATAAGCCTAAAATATAATCAAACAATGTAATTTTTTTTTAAAAATCACCCAAACTTTAAAATATTGGTATATTTAAGGTTATAAAATTTATAAAAGTATAGCTAAATAGTAAGATGCCTGGAAATATAGAAACAATCCGATGTGTCCAACGAAAAAAAAAGAGAGATGGGACTGTACAGATACTACTAAACATTAATTCAGTCAATACCCTACTAGTATGGACGTGACTCCCGCTCGGCCGCCCGACGGGAGGAGGTTAAAATCGGGCGTTGATGTCAGTGCTCGATTTACGTGCAAAACTACTTTAAACTGATTTTTCTCTTAAATTACTTATCCAAATCATGATCTGATTACACCATTAAATTTGTTGCAATTAAATCTTCAAAACAAGACCACACATGAATATATTCCGATGAAAAAAAATTTAGCTTATTATTGAATTATTTTTAAATGTTGTACGATGTTCCACCAGGTATATCGGAATTGTTTCACTAAGTAGATCGAAAATGTTTCAATCATTTAAATCAGGCGTTGTTTCACCTTATATAAAAACAATGTTTCATTAAATAGCGAAAAAATGTTTCTGTTCACTGCAATATTTGATCTATACATAGTGAAACATTGTGAGTACACTAGGTGAAACATTTTTCGGTGGAACAAAAAATAAACCAAATTCCCTTAATAAGGGTTTCCAAAATATGTGGGTGATTTATTGCAAAAGAATGTTTTAGCTCACTGCAACATTAGATCCATACATAATGAAACATTATGAGTACACTAGGTGAAACATTTTTGGTGGAATAGAAAATAAACCAAAGTCTCTTAATAGAGAGTTTCAAAAATATGTGGGTAATTTGTTGCAACGGTGCGTTCTATAATATCAAAATCCACTGCAACATTTAATCCGTACATAGTTAAACATCATAAGTACACTAGCTGAAACATTGTGAAACTACTGGTTGAAACATCAAAAGAGACCATATGCAACATTAAAAAAATCAATAAAAAACTAAAATATTTCTTTTATCAAAATATAATTATGTGTGGTCTTATTGGAAAGATTTAATTGTAACGAATTTAGTGGTGCAATCAAATCATGGATTAGATAAATAGTTTATGAGAAAAAATCATTTGAAGAAATGAGAAATGTGAGCATGTGAAAAAAGATTTTTTTACATGCAATAGCAGGCTATGCACCGTCTGATTTTTCTCACTTGCCATCGGACGCCCTACAACTAGAGGTGGCCAAACGGGCCGGGCCAAACGGGCGGCCCGGGGCACGGCCGAACCTGTAGCAGGCACGGCCCGGCACGGCCTGCTACAGTAACGGGCCGTGCCGGCACGGCCCGAGTAGCCGTGCCGTGCTTGGGCCGCTGGCCGAGCCCGCGGGCCGGCACGGCACGGCACGGCTACTGTAGCGGCACGGCCCGGCACGGCACGGCCCGTTTCGCCGGCGGCCCGTCAGGCCGAAAGCGCCACGTGGGCGGGCGGCGGTCGAATGGGAAGGCGCCACGTGGCACACTAACGGCTATTTGACCGTTCAAATTTGAAAATAACCGTTGGGAGGCTAAAAAATTCATAAAAATTTCGAAAAAATTCCAAAAAATCTCAAATTTCGCCCCGAACGGCCCGTGGGCCGCAGGCGTGCCGTGCCGGCACGGGCACGGCCCGGCCATCCACGGGCCGTGCTTGGGCCGGCGGCTCGGCACGTGGGCCGGCACGGCACGGCCCGTTTCATCAGCCGTGCCTAACGGGCCGTGCCGAAACGGGCCGTGCCGGACCCGTGCCCGTGCCGGGCCGGGCCGTGCCGCCCGTTTGGACACCTCTACCTACAACCAGCATTATCGTAGTAGTATAGTACGACTATAAGTATCAACTATCAATCCATGATTAAATTAACCAAATGCTTGATACTGGTATCATATAGAAACAGATAAACTCAACTGCTTACTGGGCCCGTGACAAACCTGCTTCCGACATTTGGCCCAGCGACAGAAACAGACAAAAAAACACAAGCGAAACCCTTTCGCTGATCTTCTCTCACTCACTCCGTCTCCCACAACCACAAGCGCCGCCTCTCCTCCACCCACCAAAACCCTCGCCGCTGCCGATCCGGCACATCGCCGCCGCCGCAGAAGCCGCCATGGAGTCGATGGAGACCAACGCGCTGCAGGTGCTGGGGCTGGACGACAACATGCGGATGGTCACCAAGAACGTCTACTCCTCGCTCCCCGACCCGCCCGTCTCCCTCCACGCGCCCCTCGCCTTCGCCGCCGCGGCGTGGCCCCCGCGCGACGGCGTCGATCGCATCAGCGCCCTCCCCGTCGACATCCTCCGCGACATCCTCTCCCGCCTCCCCGCCAGGGACGCCGCGCGCACCTCCGCGCTCTCCACGCGCTGGCGCCGCCTCTGGCGCTCGGCGCCGCTCGTCCTCGCCGACGCCCACCTCAAGCACACCGGGCGCGCTCCCGGGCCCGACGAGCTGGACCGCACTGGCGGCCTCCTGCTCCGCGCCATGGACGGCATGCGCGACGTCGCGCGCATGGTGTCGAGCGCCCTCGCCGCGCACCCGGGCCCCTTCCGCAGCGTCCACATCACGTGCACCCCCATGGACGCGCACCGGAGCGAGCTCGCGCTCTGGCTCCAGCTCCTCGCTGCCAGGGGCGTCCAGGAACTCGTCTTCGTCAACCGCGCCTCCAAGTTCGACACCGATGTGCCCTTCCCTGCCACGCTCTTCAGGTGCAGCTCCCTCACCCGCCTCTACATCGGCTTCTTGAGGTTCCCGGCCGTCGCCACCGTCCCGCGCGCTGCCTCCTTCCCCCACCTCCGGGAGCTCGGCCTCTGCTCCCTTATCATGGGTCAGCGGGAGCTCGCCTTCCTGCTCGACAGATGCCCCGTCCTGGAGAATTTCGAGATCGTCTGCCACCGCGAGCTCCTGCGCCTCCGTGTCGCCAGCCACAGCCTGCGGTGCGTCGAGGTGTGCATGTCCATCGTGGAAGAGATCACCGTGGAGCACGCCGCGCGCCTCGAGAGGCTCATGTTCTGGGAAACTTGTGGAACCGGCGGTGTCATCGACAACGTCGGCGGCATCATCGACATGCGCACGAGAGTCAAGATTGGTCATGCACCCAACCTGCGCGTATTGGGATTCTTGGTGCCTGTAATGCACGAGCTGAGCATCGGCAACACCGACATCAGGGTGGGTGGCAACGTCTTTGTTTCCTTGTCTCCCAATGCGTCAATCTTGATTGATCCTAGTTGTCTCATTTTGATTAAATTGCACAATGTCATCTCATGCAGGCTGGGACCAAGCCGACCCGAAGAACTATGGTCCCGAGTGTTCAGATGCTGGGAATTCAGCTCAAACTCTTTGACAACAATCAAGTCAGGATGTTGCCGAGCTTCCTCAGATGCTTTCCCAATGTCGAGACACTCTACATTCAGGTAAATCCGTTCGCCAGGAATTCAGCTGAATACACTGTTGCTGCATGATCGAGTACCAGAGCTAGCTTGACAATATATGTGCCCTGACTCTGAATCGATTTAATTTGCAGTCAGAGACCACTCTTAGTGGCAACACCACCGGCAAGCTCAATCCCAAGTTGTTGCAGGAGACCTCCCCAATTGAGTGCCTCCAGAAGCACATCAAGAAGGTTATCATGCGTGAATTCAGAATGCAAAGAAGCGAGCTTGATTTTCTCAAGTTCATTGCCGGGCGTGGGCAGGTGCTGGAGAAGGTTGTCGTTGTGCTGACACATACCTGTTCATCTTCAGCTGATCGGCTGCGTGCCAGTCTGAGCACTTTCATGGCTTCTACAAGATTGGCCAATGAAGACTGTAAGCTGATTGTCTATGAGAGTCCATTTCCTATAGATGCTACAGCATGGTGCTTCCAGGGGGCATTCAACATGTCAAAGGACCCTTTCGATGTTTCAAAATGCTTCAAGGATGGCGCCTCATGCCGAGCTGATTAGTTTTCTGTTGCAGCATCTACAAGCAAGGTACCACTACTCTACTAGGTTGTTGGCTATGCACTTTTTGTGGATTGGGAAGAGCTCTACTTGCCAGCCTGAGTGACTTTTATGTTTTGAAGATATTTAGCTGTGTTATTTATCATGCAATTATCTAAAGCCTAAACTACTTCTAGATGAGTATGCACCTGGTAATGTTAATATTTCACTTGCTTTTGTATTACTACTAATTTCATTAAGAATGTTCCTTGAGATTAATTGGTCCATCTATCATCACATTTTATTGGTGACAAATTAATTTTCTATAATTCATTGTTTCTTGCTTGGATCAATTTGCCAGCGTAGGCATAACTGGCATGTTCTTTTCTCCCTGCTCCCTATCCATTTTATTGTGCAATTTTAGAAGCTATGTTGATTAACCTGCCTTTCATTACCATGATGCTTAGGATGCTAATTGTACATAATTCATTCTTGCTTTGATAAACATGATCTTACTTGATAGGCTTATTATGTTTCAGGCAAATGCACCATTTTTCGTGGTAATATATGTTTGCCATGTGTCCTTTTTGTTGTAGTATATGTTTGCATGGTGCTGGCATTTTGGTTTAGAAGATACATATATATAAGTAAACAGAGGGTATACACACTCTTGAAAACAGAGGTCACATGCATTGCTTTGTCTGAAGAAGAAATAAGCTGTGTCGCACAAGGTGGGTTGGAACATTAGTAATCCTTTTCAGAAAATGGGTACTGTAGTGGATCGAGCTTGTACTGAGCTCCTTAATGTCAACCAAAATATGAGTGCTCAAAATGTTAGATTTTGAACTCAGTGCTAGGCTGCTTGACTTGAACTTCTATAAGATTCTTTCTACACTTAAAAGAACTATGCACAATTCTCATAAATAGCTTAGCCATTGTTTTTCATATGAAAAAAAAGTATGGATGAATGAAATGCCACAGGAACAGCAGCCCAGGTTAGGACACATCATCAATTATTTAGACAACCAGATTATATTTTTCATTGTCATGTTGGTACAATTATATGTATCCTTTTTATTTTTTCACACTATACTGTTCCTTATGGTGTTCAATATACATGGCTTTATACTCCCTCCATTCTAAATTGATCTACATATTTTATAGGTACACCAAGACCAAGAAAAGCTAATATCTCTCTCATACTATATTTACTCTAGCAACAAATTAGATGCATACACCATCCCCACTATTTCCTAGCCAATAGCAAATCAAGATATTGCATGTGGGTTATAAATACTTGTGTGCATGGATGCATGCATCAATATCCATTTACTCTAATGCACAAATAACGAATAGACTTAATAAATGAACACAAATATGTAGATCATTTAGGAATAACCTCAAAAAAACTATATGTAGATCAATTTGGAATGGAGGGAGTATAAAACAATGTTATGATGCTAAACAAAGTGCTAATCTAGATTGCTGGAAGTCTTGAAGTTGATTGTATGGTCACATATCTATGATATAATCATTCCATTCTGCTTTTGATTTTTGCATATTCAGATTCTTCCCAACACTAGCAATTTTACAGTCATGAAACTATTCTTGAATTAATGGCATAGGGTCTGCTGAGAATAGATGAACAGATATTTGCAGTTAGCTTTTTTCAGTTGTTGTTTGTGAATGAATGAATGATAATCATATGAGCATCATATGCATTGTCTTGTAGTTCTGCACTAATGCTACACTATTCATCACAAACATGCTGCACTTGACTTGTGGTAACTGGAAAATCCCATTTGCTATGAAATATATATGTTCAATACACATGTACTGGAAGTCCTTCCTGCGATGAAATAGATATGTACAATAGCAGTTGAAGTCCTTCCATTTTACTTCCTAGGACTTCAGGCGATTTGGTGGCTTTGTGATACGGCATTTCCTGCTTTCTTACCCTTATATTTATAGATCAAGTGGACATGGATATGTCCATCGTGCATGTTGTTCGCATCATGACCATGAACACTTCCACAGCCGCTTGCTTGTTTCCATGCCACTCGTGTCAGTGAGACCGACTCCAACATGAACACAAAGTCGTCCTCGAGCTAAACTACCGCACAACCACACCATGGCTATGTACATGACAGTGCAGGGAACAAACTAAAAACCAATCAGATTTTCTTGATTACTTGCATTAATGATACGTCTCCATAATGCCCATGATGTTGCTACCAGATATAGATATCAAGTGAAATCAAATTAGTATAGATGTTGCTGCTTGTCTGAAGGTGGTCATGTGATGTTTTTGAAATATTTTTGGGATGTATTATTGTGAAAGCTGTACTATTTTTTTTTATAACGGAACAATGGATCACTTAAGCTGCAGTGCAATTATATGTATTTCCTTCATGTTTTCAATAATAATGTGAGGTATAAGAATTACATATTGATAACCGAAATGATCTAGTGTGTGTGGTAAGAGAGAAGACATTGATAAAGGGGTGGAAGAAGACTGGATGGTCTTTAATGTCCCTTCCATATACATATCACCGTATTGGGAATGATATATGTAAAATTTCGATATAGTACAGTGGCAGGTCCACCGTAGATGCACGGGGTGCAGTTCCATCCCCAACTTTTTTGGAACACAAGTTGTTAAGTATGCACATTAGGGCTGCCAAATGTACATGTTCCACCTTAATCTTGACGGTCGCCCTGCACACTTCACTAGGTATGCTTCCCTGTTCTGCTTCAGTAGAATTGTCTTATTTTTTACCGCAACAATGCGATGTTGGCCAATGTGGAATGAACCAAGTGCAGATGAATCCATGTTAGTTTGCCATTGCTTGAACGAGTCCTGATTGAAGCAACATCTTGCTCATCTCTATCCCATTATGAACAAGTAGCATCAATTAGTGAAGAAACATTTACAATAATGTTCATCAATTACATTTTTAGTTCATATATTGTTAAAATTAAACTGTTATGAAATCACTTGGAAATTTATTCCCATGTTATGTTTTGTTGTCTTCAGTCATCATGCTTCCTTGGGATTCAGAGGGTGAGTTTATGATCTCGGTGTATACAATGTAAATTCAGTATAAGTAGTGTGACATCTTTTGGTTGCACACATGCACACCAGGTGAAGATGGCCATTGATTCCAATGGCAGTCGGTCCATGATCCCCCTAGACCTATAGGAGCAGCTTCATCTTTCCATCAGACTTGCCCTATGTGGTAATATGCATGTAGGATCAGTGGTAGACTGGTGGCTCTGTCATCTTATCTTGCTTGAAAGAGCTTGATTAGCTTCATGTAGTTTACAGTGACAAGCTGATGACAAGGATAATCCGGTAGATATTTATGTTTAAGTCTTTTACTTCATTATATCTGAAATAAGTTTGGAACTTGCTGGTTCTTTAGCAGTAGTGCAAACAGAAGCTATGCTTGTGTGTTTCCATGACCTCATGTCAGGATCCAACGATTTTGGTTCAGACAAATTTGGGGAAAATTCAAATATGGCTAGTAGCTAACTAATGGGAATCCTAACACAGCAGAAATGAAAAATGGAATGCTGAAATTTACTAGAATTGAAAGAGATATTTGTGTGCGCCGCAAGAACAAGAGGGGAAATTAGATTAGGGTTCAAGTTCGATAAAGAGTTACAGCCAAAAGCTCGGGCTTATATTGAGTACGCCCATAGCTAAACGACAACGACGATGACGTCCACAGTACGGCAATTCTTCCCCTCTGTAGCTCGTCGCGGTGAAACTGGGCCACACGATCTTCATAACTTTCTCGCGAATCGGTATCTCGCAATCTCGACCGTTGAATCTATTCCAGCTATCTCTTAACTCTGAACTTTAAGTCTGAATCTTCTTCAGGTCTCACAATTCTCCCCCCTTAAGATCCATGTCCTCATGGAGTGAAAGAAGGAAATACTTTGGTAATAAACGCAGCATCCTCCCAGGTTGCAGCTGATTCTGGTAGGTTAGCCCAATGAATTTTCCACTGCACCACTGGTTCATTGTTTCTAGGTATAAGGCGACGATCGAGCACTGCCAATGGGGTAGAGAGAATCCTGCCCTCAGCATCAATCAAAGGAAGACCTTGTTCAGGGACAGCACGAGAGCCCAGATGTTTCTTTAACTGGCTGACATGGAAGACATGATGTATTTGGCTAGTAACAGGTAGCAAAAGCTTGTAAGCAACTGAACCAATGCGCTCCAGAACTCTGAATGGCCCATAGTACCTGGAGTGAAGTTTCAAGGAAGAATGAAGACCCAGTGAATTATGTCGATATGGTTGCATTTTAAGGTAGACCATATCGCCAACTTCAAGTGTGCGTTCTTGGCGATGTTGATCGGCAAAGTATTTCATACGGGCTTGAGCCTTGACAAGATGAGATTTTATTGTCTCCAACAGAGCAGCTTTGGCTTCCTGTTTGTTACGTTCACCTTCCAATAAGGAACCAGGTAGGAGTAATTCAGCCAACAGGGGTGGTTTAATGCCATGTAGGGCCTGATATGGTGACATGCCCAGAGATGTATGGAAGGTTGTATTGTACCACCATTCAGCATGAGGTAGAAGAGCTTTCCATTTCCTGGGTTTGGACGATGTCATGCAGCGAAGATAATTTTCCAAGCATTGATTAACTCGCTCCGATTGACCATCAGTTTGCGGGTGATAAGCGCTGCTGAAGTGGAGTTTGACGCCAGCCTTTTCAAAAACTTCTTTCCAGGTGGAACTAGTGAAGATGCGATCTCTGTCACTCACAATCACTGTCGGCAAGCCATGTAATTTGTAAAAGTGCTCCAAGAATTGAGTAAGAATTTGGTCGGCAGTGAAAGGATGGCTAAGAGGAATGAAGTGTGCATATTTGGTGAACCTATCAACAATAACCCAGATCACATCCTTGCCTTCAGACTTGGGTAAGCCTTCGACAAAATCCATTGTAATGTGAGACCAAGCCATTTCAGGAAGAGGGAGAGGTTGAAGTAACCCAGCTGGCATGTTATGTTCAGTCTTGTTCTTTTGGCAGACAGGGCAAGCTTTGACAAATTGAGTGACAGCAAGTTTCATACCAGGCCAATAGAACAGTTGTTTCATCCTCTGATAAGTTGCTCTTTCACCAGAATGACCTCCTAGAGCTGAGTCATGAAAAGAAACTAATAATTGCTCTCGTAGTGTGTTGCCGGCCCCAACTACAATATGATCTTTGTATCTGAGAATGCCTCCTTTCAAAGTATAAGGAGGGTGAGATTGCGGTGCAATGTGCAGGTGAGATTCCAATTCGTGGCATTTTGGGTCAGTACTGTAACTAGCAGCCACTTCAGTTATCCACTGGGGAACAATGACAGTAGTAGTTAAAGCATTAAGCTGCTGCATTCTGGACAGCGCATCTGCAGCTTTGTTCTCTTGGCCCTTTTTGTATTCAATTTTATAGTCATAGCTTAACAACTTGATAAGTAATTTGTGCTGGACACCTTCAGTGATTCGCTGCTCATTAATGTATTTCAAGCTAGCTTGATCTGTTCTGATAATGAGAGAAGTGCCTAAAAAGTAATGTTTCCATTTCTTTAGAGCTTCCAAGATAGCTAGGGCTTCCTTATCATAGGTGGAGAGGGCAGCAGCTTTGGGTCCTATTGCTTTGCTGAGATAAGCAAGTGGTCGACCATTTTGCATTAAAACTGCTCCGATCCCATGTCCACTAGCATCGGCTTCCAAAATAAATGGAAGGGAGAAATCTGGCATGGCCAAAACAGGTGCTTGAGCTAACTGAAGCTTAATGGCATCGAAGGCTTGTTGCTGAACTTCTTGCCAATGGAAGTTGTTCTTTTTCAGAGCATCAAACATAGGCCGGCAGATGATACCAAAGTTTTTAATGAATCTTCGGTAGTAGCCAGCTAAACCTAGAAAACCCCTTAGTTCAGTGATAGAAGTAGGAGTAGGCCAGTTTTGAACTGCTTGCACCTTAACAGGGTCAGTAGCAACTCCTGAGGAGCTAATAATATACCCCAAATATTCCACTTGATCTTGCCCAAAGACACATTTACTTGGTTTGGCGAATAACTGGTGATGTCTCAGTAACTGTAGTACTAGGCTCAAATGCTGCGCATGTTCGGTGGCTGACTTGCTATATATGAGAATATCATCAAAGAAAACTAACACGAATTTGCGGAGATAGGGTGCTAATATCTTGTTCATGAGTGCTTGAAATGTGGCTGGCGCATTAGTTAATCCAAAAGGCATCACCAAGTATTCAAAATGGCCCAAATGAGTGCTAAAAGCTGTTTTATGAACATCAGCTGCATGCATGCGAATTTGGTGGTACCCAGACCTGAGATCGATTTTGGAAAAAATTTGAGCTCCCTGCAACTCATCCAAGAGATCCTCAATGACAGGAATGGGGTATTTGTTCTTAATTGTGGAAGCATTAAGTTGTCTATAGTCAACACACAAACGCCATGTGCCATCTTTCTTTTTAACCAATATAGCTGGAGAAGAATATGGACTCATGCTGGGCTGAATGGTTTGGGAGGTAAGCAACTGCTGAACCAACTCCTCAAGAGCATTTTTCTTCTGATATGGCAGTCTATAAGGTCGGACATTTACTGGTTTAGCTCCTGGTATCAAGGGAATTGTGTGATCACAGTCACGTTGAGGAGGGAGTGCCACTGGTTCTGCAAAAACATCAGCAAACTATGCTAAAACTGGAGCCAACAGAGGAGGGGTGGGTATCTCAGTCAAGGCAGAGCAATGAATGGAGTGACAGTACAAGACAGCTCCCACCACATCTTGAGTTAGGAGTTTCTCCATTGTAGGGGCAGAAATCATAAAATTAGATGGTGACACACTGATGTCAGGTAATGTCAATTCCAGCAGTCCATCTTTATGAATGGTTAATTCCCTGGTCTTCAGGTTGAGTGTCAATGGACTATGGTGATAAATCCAATCGCACCCAAGGACGATATCATAGCCTTTCAGATTAAGAAGTCTGAATGTAGATATGAATTGGTGCTGCTGAATCATATAAGGTACATCAACACACCTAGCACCAGTATATAAAGTGCCTCCATTTGCTACCTTAACAGGAATAGGGTCATTGTTAACAATCTCCAAGCCAGCCTTACTGACAAATTTGGGAGAAATGAAAGTTGAGGTGCTGCCACTATCAATCAAAGCAGTAGCAGACATCTTCCCAATGCACACATGGATAGTAAAAGTTGTAGCAACAGAATTGGTTCCCTCGAGAGCATGCAAAGACAAGTCTGTATGGGTAGTAGCCTCATGAGCAGGACTACCTGGTGGTGTAGTAAACTGGGCCGCAGCATTATCAGGCATTTCTTCTCCATCATCATCTAAGGTTACCAAATAAATTTGTTTAGTGGCCTTACAAACTCGACCATGTCCAGGTACCCAAGGCTCTTGGCACTTGAAGCATCTGCCAAACGACTTTGGTGCTGTAAAAGGTGATGGCTTGTCATCCTTCAATGCCGGTTTAACCGGTAATTTAGGCATCTCCTTACTCTGAGATACTGCCACAGTGGGACTGCTTCGAGGAGGCACATCATAATTTCTTGCATGTTCATAAGCATCAACCAAGGACTGAATGTGTAAAGATTTCAGTGGTCTTTTGATATGATCCTTAAGGCCAGAGATAAAGTAATCCAAAAAGTACTGCTCAGTTAGGTTGGGCCTATTTCGTTTCACTAGAGCCATAACTTCTTCAAATTTGTCGATATAAACATCAACAGAACCATACTGTTTCAGATTTCGAAAAGTATCAATGACTTCAATGTTGGACTTAGCAGCAAAGCGTTGGCAAATCATGGACTTAAATTCAGGCCAAGTTAGTTGTTCAGTGAGAACATCAGAACTCGAGATCCACTGATCAGCACGACCTGTGATATAGATTTCAGCCACTAGGACTTTTTCTTCTTCAGGAGTTTGATTCAAAGCAAAATACTTTTCAGCCTTCCTTATCCAAGATTCAGGGCATTCACCATCGAAAATGGGGAAATCAACATGCTTTGATCGTCTATGAGCATTCTCAGCATACTGGGTTCTTTCTCGGCCATTAGGATCGTGGTAGGGCCCAAATCGACGATCCCAATTTTGGGGAAGAAACGGTTGGTTAGGTGGTGTATGGGATGGTGGTGGGTAGTTGTACTGTGGAAGGTTCCAAGGTGTGTTATAGGGAGGGTAGGGAGGGTAATAGAATGGTGTATACTGGTAGTTCATATTGTAAGGATTGTAATTTTGGTTTTGAGGTAAATTGTTTTGGTTAGGTGGAGGTGGTGGTACTGGTGGAATTGGTGGTGGAACTGTTGGTGTAGTGAAGTAAACCGAGGTATTCCATTCAGATGGAGGGGTGGAGACAGGTTTGGGAGTAAAAACAGTTGGTGGTAGGTCTGTGGTTTCTATGGCTTGGGTGGTCATTGGGCAACTAAGGTTTCTATAATCGAAAAGAGGATGTCTGCTGGTACTTGCTGCATTAGTGTCCACTGCTTTTCCCCCTCCTACGACAGATTGTGCAAAGCCAGGTGTTTTCGGTGTGCCCTTGATTTCCTGCCCCATGCAACTAGTTGTCCCACCTAACATCTGTTGAATTGACAACAAGTTTTGCATAACCTCATCCTTGTATACCTGAGCCTGAACCGCCTGGTTCTGAAGCTGCTCCTGGACCAGCTTGTGGTCTTCTTCCACCTTCCTTTGCAAATCCATCATGCTTAGCCTAAGCTCATCCACCGCTGTCTCCCATGGCTGTACCTCCTCCAGTACTGGATCCTCCACTCGGGGCCCTCTAGGCATGGTTGCAAACACAGATCTGGGAATTTTACAGGGGAACGACTAGTTAGTCCCCAAACCCTCACTGCTCTGCCGAATTTGTGCTCCTCCGACCTGATTCCTCGGCCTCGCTTAGGAATTTTACCAGGAAAATGAATTTCCCAACCCTCACTAGCCTGGACTATCAGATCCGGAGTACTCCCATCAGATCTGAGCTCTGATACCTTTTGTCAGGATCCAACGATTTTGGTTCAGACAAATTTGGGGAAAATTCAAATATGGCTAGTAGCTAACTAATGGGAATCCTAACACAGCAGAAATGAAAAATGGAATGCTGAAATTTACTAGAATTGAAAGAGATATTTGTGTGCGCCGCAAGAACAAGAGGGGAAATTAGATTAGGGTTCAAGTTCGATAAAGAGTTACAGCCAAAAGCTCGGGCTTATATTGAGTACGCCCATAGCTAAACGACAACGACGATGACGTCCACAGTACGGCAATTCTTCCCCTCTGTAGCTCGTCGCGGCGAAACTGGGCCACACGATCTTCATAACTTTCTCGCGAATCGGTATCTCGCAATCTCGACCGTTGAATCTATTCCAGCTATCTCTTAACTCTGAACTTTAAGTCTGAATCTTCTTCAGGTCTCACACCTCATGATTATCAACCCCTTGTTTGTAGCTTTAAAACTTACAAAAGATATTGCTGAAACTGTCCATTGCTGAATGCTGATACGCTTTGGATATGACAATCTTACTTTGTTTTAAGAAGGTGGCTAATTGTTGTCATGTACTATATATGCTTGTGGATGAAATTTGACAATATTAACCACTTATTGTGGCAGTATATAGTATTACATATGCATGTAGATTTTCGTCTGTACTACATGGCATCAGCTAAATTCCATGTGATATAACAATTTTGTGTTAGCCAACTATGCCCACTGTAATGAAATTAGACAACCAATTGGTGCTGTCATTTTTTTAATCTGAAGCTGAAGAGTTAGCTCTATAAAGTTTGTGCCATTTTTTATCTGCCTTTTCTTATAACTTTTCTTAGCAAAATAGTATGCTCCCTAGTGCTGCATCTTCGAGCTTTTATGGATGTTTTGCTTCTTGTGGATCTAGAAGTAGAAATGCATGAATCCGGAACAATTAGTTTATGACTGGCATTATATTCATAGTTTCTGCAATAACATGCCACTAATGTTTTCTATAAATTTTACTAATGCAGCTGGTACCTTCCATTACAGATATTCACCTAAGATCAAGTAAATTAAAGTAATTAGATGTGCTGGCAGAAGAGCTTCTCACTAGCATTGTCACTGTAATCACTAAATTTTATATGATCCGTGTTGGAAGACTTGTGCTTTTATCCAGGGGCTATATGACAGTAATTAACAGATATCCTCATACATGGTTGCATGAGCAACAAGTATTTTTTTTGAGAGCTTCTAATCGAGAAGGCATGAGCTCGTCTAAACTTTTATCCCCTTGCTCATTCACTTTAGATCTTGTGCGTTTATCTTTTTTATTATTGCCGATTTATAGAATCGACATGAAGCTCACATGAACTAGTGTAGTATTCAGTAGTACCAGTGCTTCTTAAGATCTTGTCTGTTTGGAACAGAGGATCGATTTGAACAGGCTGCTCGTCAAACTCCCTGTTCATTTTCAGATCATATAGTTGGGAGTATTGTTCTTCTTTTGTGAACCCCTCTGTAATTGATTGTGGTTCAGCGAATGTGGATGCAATTGGCTTGCAAACATGAACACTATTACACTAATCAGATCCAGAGTACACATGTCTTATTAATCCATATATTGCCGAGACAGGGGGATACATATATAGTACCACAGTACATTATTTGTCATACATAGACATTCTCTTAATTAACTAGCTCTCATGCAGTGTGAGCAGCTAGTGAATACTAGTATAACATACACAAACACACACTATTGTCATGTGGACGATGTGGACGTATACTGGATCACAACGATAAATATTGATGATGAAAATTACTTATGGATCACCCATCCGTCCTGGTGGATTGCACCTGTTACGGTATATGCAAGGATCACGTGGATTAGTGTATGGTAGACCTGGTGTTGGACACGCGCCGCCAACGCATACTGGATGATTTGGGTCTAACCCACCTTCTCCGCCTGTACATTGGTTATTTGCCATTATATTAGACGAACTAGCAACACGTTATTTGCCATTATATTTACCAGGCCTATATATATTTCAGGGTTTTTTTTTCCAAACAGTTAGCATGCGAGATATCTATATATGGACCCAAGGTGATGTAAATTTTTCTTAACCTTTTTCGTGTAGTTTTTAAAATATATTCCATCCATTTCAGATTATAAGATGTTTTGACTTTAGCTAAAGTTAAACTGCTTTAAGTTTAATTAAATTTATAGATAAATATTGTAATATTTACATTACTAAATTAGTTTTATTAAATTAGTAATTAAATTTATTTTTATAATAAATTTATCTTGGGTCGAAAATATTACTATTTTTTTCTATAAATTTGGTAAAAAAAACTTAAATATCTTATAACCTGAAATAGAGGGAGTACCACATAAAAACATATTTTTAAATATAAATATTTCGGTGGTGTGGCAAGTTACTATACAGTACTACTCTGCTCATGGCACGACGACATTGACGATGGTGGCTTGCCACAACACTATGGACAGCATAGTTAAATCCTTGTCTCGTTGTGTGAAAAACTCTATATATAGAAAATGTTTTAAAAATTAAATAAATATATTTTGTAAGTTTTAATAATTAATACTCAACTAATCATATAATAATCATGTTTCACGTTCTACGTATAGCTAAACAACCAAAATCATAATTAAAAAAAAAGGCACCCTTAGCCTTGCCAATAGAGATAGTCTGGCCTTGCTAATACTTACGGAAGGTTTACTTTATTTTAAAGTAGTTAAATTATTTTGCATTAGAAAGTTCAAGAACTAGAATTTCACTGTACGTAAACACAGTAGCTGAGGTGTTACTACTGAAGTGCAAATATGTCAACATAACAATTTATGGATATATATATGCCCATAACAGTTGATGGTTATCTCACAATTATATCTAACCTACATATATATATATATATATATATATATATATATATATATATATATATATATATATATATTCTTTTGTTAAAAATGTAGAAATTCCACGCCCTTCTATTTTAACCCAACCTTGTAAGTTTTATGCCGTGGTGGGGTGAGTATAGAACGGTGGAACTAATATATATTGCTCAAGGAAAAAAAGGCTAAAAATTGACACACTCACCTGGGAAAGTTCGGGCATCAGAAAACGAGCAGCTTAAGATGACGGTGTAAAACACCATAATAATTTGCATCAACACAAGGAGTGTGGTGGCTCTAAGAGACGCCATGGTTGGCCTTCAATAAATCCTTCTTGTGTATGCTTGATATATGTACTACTTGAGATGCGTGTGGTATTTATAGCAAAAGAAAGGCATCCACTTGAGCACACATGCTTTTTTTTTCCGTTCTTTCGCTTGAAAGAAAAAAAGAACTTGTTCTACTATGGGCTCTATAATGAAAGAAAAGAAAATTGAGAAATTGTTTTTTATTGGATAATTCTGCCATAATAATATTAGTATCTACACTGCTGGAGAAAGGGGCATTAGTCCCGGTTACGCAACCGGGACCACGAATCCGGGATTAAAAATGTCCATCTTTAGTTCCGGATGAAATAACCGGGATTAAAAATTTATCTTTAGTCCCGGTTGGTAACACCATCCGAGACTAAAAATGGAGCCAGGCCAGGTACGATTGCTATTTTTTTTATTGTTTTTAACATTGAATATTGATTTCACTCCATCCCCAAATCATTCTCAAATCATGAAAACCCAAATCGATCATCATAGATCACAAAATAAAAGAATATGTCCAAATTCTTAAATCGATCATCTCCAAATAAATCACAAATTCTAAAAAAATTACATCACAAGTTCTAAAAAATCATCAGAAATACATCACATATTCACATTACACACAAATCAAATATATCTCAGATACAAAATCACAAAATTCTCAAAAAAAAACATCATAGATCGGCTGCTGCCTGCCTCAAGGCCCTCTGCGCCGGCCACCGTGCTGCCACGCCACGTAGGTCGCTGCCGCACTGGCCGCCGCCTTACGCGTGGCCAGCTGTCGCCCTTCGTGCAGCCACACCGCCGCCCGCCACGCCCGGCCGCCCCCACCCCCGCCCGGCCGCCTGCCCTCGCGGCGCCGGCCTCGCTCGCTCGCTCTCGCTCTGCTCTCGCCGATAGGAACTAGAAAGAAGGAGAGGATCTGTTTGGCTTGAAAATGGTAAGGGAGAGGAGAAGAAAAGGATGAAGGAGAGGAGGAATAGGAAGATGAGGAGTTTGGGAGGATAAGTCCCAGGGATTATATACTGTATATGGATTTTTAGTTCCGCTGGTGCTACCAACCGGGATTAATTTTTATTCCCGGTTGGTTACACCAACTGGGACTAAAAATCCCCAACCCCCTGACAGCCTCGAACAGAAAATGAACTGGGACTAAAGATGAAGATCATCTAGGGCCGATAGAGTTTTAAACGGAAAAAAAAATCATCTTTAGCCAACCCAGTAAAGATGGTTTCTCTAGCAGTGCTATGTGGTTGGGGATAATTTAAAACTTGTGGTTTTTGGTCAACCTAATAAAGATGCTTCTAGTGCTATGTGGTCGGGGATAATTTAAAACTTGTGGTTTTAACTATCCTATAGTTTGTTTCTAACTACAAGTAGAACACACACCACACTCATGTCCACGCACACAAATGTGTGCACCTACTAAGATTAAATGTCCTTAAATAGATGATAATAAATACCAAATTACACCCGAATTACTTGATATATGGTTTTTTAATAATGGAAATGGTTTACACCCCTAGCTATAATGGACACAAACAAGGACTGAACAAAGAACAGTCCTTTTCGCATATATTGATCATATGCATAAATAAATTCATATGATCGTCATTCAGTAAAAAAATACAACTAGATGTCTATTAATGTTCTACTTCTCTCCCTAGCGACCAAATTATATTTTTATGGTAGATATGAAAGAAATCTAAGGCTCATTATCAATTATATTAGGAAATACACTGTGACAAGTCCACAGGTATTTCATCGGACTTAATGATTAGTGACCATATGGTTGTTGATGTCCTAACATATACTCTTACGTTCTAAAATATAAATATTTTTTATATAAGTAACAAATTAAATATTTTTAACTTTAACTATTAATAGAAAAAATAAAAAAAGATTAATCATGTAAAATTAATGTTACTAGATTTAATAAATTAAAGAAACTATCATACTATGCAACTCTTTTTATTTAAAACATCTTATTTTTATAGATATTGCTGGTCAAGGATCTAAAATGCTTATATTATGGAACGAATGGAGTATATGGATAGCGTTCACGAGTCCTTGTCTCATTGTGACGATGATCCCTGCTTGTTGCTAAGAATTAAATTAAGTTGCTACAATTAATAGCACACTGCACACCCATTACAATTTGCAAAATGGCACACTTTTTCAATGGATAGTCAAGCTTTGATGGGCCCTGCCTGGTCGTCCAAATTAGCAGTCAAGCACTAGCAGAATTTCCAGCGTCTATCCCATATCTCTGTCTTCCACTCATATCCTTTACTTTACTTTTGTGATTGAAACACACATGCACAGGACAGAGTGTGATTAAAGTTGTCACCGAAATAGATGCACAGTAAAGACATAAATTTTACGTGGAAACTTTTGCGGGAAAAAATACGGGCACCGATCAGCTATGATCACTATAGAGGAGTTACTTATGAGAATAACAATAGAAACATCACCTTTTTCCATACTATTTACAAAAGTATATATATAGCAGATAATACGAAAACACCTAATAGAAAAAGACTTGGACTCAGTAAGAAACTAATCCGAATATATCGTGGGCCCAAAATTTAAATAACATATTTAATGAAAGTAATGGTGAGTGCAATACGACAATCATCCCATTAAAAAGAAATATCAGGGCCCTGTACATTTGTCCTCATCAAGTGACTGTTTCTTGTCGTCAGTCGCTTTTTAAAACCAGCAGATCCGTTGTTAGGCTAATTTGTACGACTAATCACCAAAGGATCCTTCTTAATACTGTGTATAAAAACCTAGGAGTCATAATGTGTAAGTTTAGGCTATGCGATTGTAAGAGTTTTTAGCTAGGTGACTAATAACAAATAAGAAATAAATAGTGAAAATGAAGAATATTTGTCGAGGTTTCAAAATTTCTGGCCTCGCGCTACCCAAAACATATAGTTTGTGTTAATCTACCACTGCTAGTTCACAGATGACGATATATAACTAATAATATCAAATTTTGAAATGCAAAACATGAACAAATGATAGCTGTTATTTTGCGAAAATGCTTAGGGACGGACGTCGAACGCGAGTACTGTTTCCGTCTGTCCCTCGCTCCTCTCTCTCTCTTATATTTTAACGAGTAACCACATTGCCAAATCATGTAGCAATTTGGCTTAAAGATTCGTCTCGCAATTTACAAGTAATCTATATAATTAGTTATTTTTTTATTTATATTTAATACTTAATGCATGTGTCCAAATATTTGATATGACAGGGTTTACCAGGGGATCAAAATAGGCTTATAGTAACAAACTGGGAAGTAAGATGTTGTTTGAATCCAGGAATTAAACTTTAGTCCCTGTCACATCGGATATTTAGACACTAATTTGGAGTATTAAACATAGACAAATTAAAATCAATGTTTTCTCTCTCAGTAATTTTAAGCATATTTCTATTTTCAGATATACCATTAATACCATTTTAATTGTTTATGACTGCATATTAATTTAGTTCCAACTAAATTGAATAAACTAAAAATTTGGCTAGATTTTTGTCATGATATGGATTTATTTTTCGACTAAAAATGTAATTATTTATTTGTCATGATGTAGAATTTAAATTTAGACTAAAATTAAATAATATTAATTATTTTTTAATTCTATATGCACTCTATTCTTCTTCCAATATTCTTATTTTTTTTATTGTTCTAATTTGTTTTCTATATGGACTATAAATCTTATTTCAATATTTTTTATTTTGAATTTTGATTATTTTTCTAAATTGCATTCCTATATGCACTCTAGGCACTTTTGGAGAATATTCTACACTCCTCATCCAATATTATTTATTTTATAATTTAACTTTATATTAGACTGTATTATTTATATAGATAGATTAATCTATCCAGTTCAAGTATTTTTTTGGCAGAAGATTCGTTTTATGCATATATCCGATTGGACAACGTGATTTTTTTTAAAAGAAAACTAAAGGAAAGAGTCATTATCTACAATGAGTACTCCTTATTTTTTTATATTTTACTCCAATTCTAATTAATACGAGAATTTCTAACCATAAGAGCTAACGTGGATATTTCTTTTTCTATTACTTTACTAAGTTGACAACATTAGTTTTTTCCGTTGCAACACATTATTGAATAATAATTTATTATGAGCTATTATATTTCTCTCAATCATATAAGACTTTTTCTAGCGAAAAAAATAACAAAGCAGTGTAAAAATAACTTTGGTTAAAATAAATAATTTTAGTTTTAAAACACCGTAGCGAAGCATGGCATTTTGATAGTCAAAGGGATAAAATCTGATTCCTTAGGGGAAACGGAAGAGGAAGATAAGATAATATTTCCCCTCAACAAATTTTGGAAATGGGGCACGGGATGCAGCGGATTTTGAGGGGAAGGCGGCGGTATCGGGTCAAACAGGCTGTCTGGAGGTTGAAGATGATACTGTTGCGAGAGCGAGTTAAAGTAGACTTTCTCTGTGGTTTCCTTTACTAGGCCCGATTGAAGGAGAAGGCAAGCTGGACTTCGGAGAGGAAAAGGGCCGGAAGGAAAGAAAGAATGGGCCGAGAAAGAGAAGACTTTTCCTAATTCGGCCAGAAAAGGAAAAGAGCACTTTTAATTACATTTCCAATTTAAAATAATCGCGGAAATGATCGTTGAATTGTTAAAAATACTTCCATTGCTCAAATAATTTCAAGAAAAATCCTGAAAAATACTTGGACACTCAAAGTATTTAAAAACAATTATATACAGTTCATTTAATGATTAATTTAATATGTGAATAATTACTTAAATGCTCCTTGTATTATTCAAATTAGTAATTGAGCTCCGAAAAATCTGAGGAAATTCCAGAGAGTTTAATAAAAATTAAACCCAGCCATGCTTTATATTTAGAAAATTTTATTTCCCACATTTAACTTCACTTGTAAATTAATGAACATTCTAATAATAATTTACTAAATAATTTATAAATTCTAAAACGAAAATCAGGATGTGCCAGGGCTTACAGCTCCAGGCTGGCTGCCTACGCCGCTTCCGAGTGACA